GCAGCAGAGATAAGTCACAGGGTGATATCTTGATGGACGCCCTGCTTTCTGTTTGCTGTTTTCTGCTGAAAAAAAGCAGATGAAGCGGCGAAGCTGTCAGCGCGCCCGCCACACACTTCATCAACAAGCAGAAATAAGTAGTTTTTTTAGCGATATTCATGCCAGTTTGGAGCATCGGCAGAGAGAGAGGCCTGTGCACAACATTATGACCACTGACAGGTCACTGAATGGTTTCACTCTGAGAGACGCCTGAATGTCCTGGATGGGATATGAGGAAAAGTCACTCCTCTGCTTTGCTAAAACACAACATGAACAGAATATACACCAAATCTGCTCTGAAGAGCAGAAGATCAGGATCCCGCTCCTCAGCACACCTCAGATCAAAACGCTCCATTGTTCCAGGACTCTATGGTTTGCTGTCGTAAGGTTTGCGTGGATGAAGAGTCATTCCAAAAAAGTTTAAAAAATCAATCCTCTGGACCTTGTTTCCAAGTTTGAAGACGTTTCTCTTCCATCCAGGAAGCTTTTTTAATTAAAAATGTCAGAAATAGCGTTTAGTTCCAGGTTTTATCCAGCAGCCCAACAAAGCCTGGTTTTAGTTTAGAAAACATGCAAATAGAAACGGATGAACGGGCCCCCCCCTTTGGAATGGGGGTCGTTTGGCTTCTTTGTTAGCCTGCAACGACGCCAGAGTGTTTGCCAGTTGTGGGTACTCCAGCCAAGCTGAGTTTTTTGACGAGTAAGACTGAGTTCTTGTCAACCAGAGTTTTTACTTTGTTTTTGTCTTTGCCTCTCGGCAGGAAGTCATCCTGCAAACTGGATCTTTCGGATCTTCTCTCCCTGGAAGGATCAACTGAGCCTCAAACTGAGCTGGGATTCAAACTGGAGGTTTGGATCCAGTTTCCCTGAGAGGAAGTTGAGTTTACACTCTGAGCAAGTGAATCATCTCCACTACGACCCGTTCAAGTACCGCAGGAAATCTGAGTGGCAGTCAGTTTCTCCGTTCACCTACAGCCGACCGTGTTCTGGGTAAACCCTGCTCCACCCTCCACTGAATCAGACTACTCTGGAAAGCAACACACAGATTGGACTCAAAGATTCTTCAACTTCTCTGGAAACTTGAGTCTACAACCAGATCCTCTTCTCCAAGTCCACGACTGAAATTTCCCACTGAGCCTGAACTAGTCGTTGTGTGTTCCCCACACCTTCCAGTTCCGGTTTTGACAGTGTTTAGAGCAGCACTGGACTCATCACATTATTCTAAATAAACCTGTTAAACTTTTCCGTGGTCTCTCTGTTTTGGTCTTCTGCATTTTTTGGGATCAGATCTTTAACTAAATCATGACAGGCGGGAAGGAATCAACTCAAATGTGTTGTAGGTTTTTGAAAGCTGGACTCTGAGCCAACCCCCCCCTTCTGTTTAAGGTTGATTCAGATGGCTTTCTTCACGCTCCTTTAAAACGACCTGTCTTCTTCTTTGTCCATAATGTGAACATTCTGGTCCTTTTGAACAAAGAAAACAGGTGGTGGAACCTTTTGTCCGTTTCAATTTGCATGTTTTCTAAGCAAAAACAAGGCTGAATAGGCGCGGTCTTCCATTCCCCTGTAAAATGATTGGAGTTGTGATGATAGCCCCAACCCGGGATAGCCCTTCCCGCTAACCCCAACCCCTTTACAGAGGAACAGAAGCCCTTGCCTTTTAAAGATACAGGTGAATTGTGGAATGGGCAGCATAACAAACGCTTCTATTACAGTTCTAAGGTGTTTCCAGATGAATGAATAAACTACACGGGGATTTCCTTGTTGAAAACTGGTCATCTTTATGTGTTACTCTCACCCTGTCAGTGTCATGAAGTTTTGATTATGGGTTGCACAGTAGCAGCCATTCAAAATGGCCCTTCCCAGTCAAACGCCAGCCGAATGGCAACCTATTCCCCTGCGAATCCCAGCAAAATCCCCTCCAACTTCCAGCCACCGGCCACCTGAGCGTGCATTTCTTTTACTCTGAATTACGGGGTCTGACCAGGAGATGCCGCTTCTCTTTAGATCTTAATGTCCACAAATCATGACATAAAGAATATTTTAGTGCAGAGATTGATGTTTATTAAGGAATTGAAGGGGAGCAGCCAAGGAAGGTGGGGAAATTTTTAATGGCTACTACTGTAATTAAGCAACGGAAGCTTTTTACATGAGGTTTTACTTTGATGTGCTGCAGAACAAAAGGCAACAGACTCCGATACAGGAGACGGGTTCTGATTTAGATCAAAGGTGGTTCTGACCCGGTTCAGAGAAGAACTATGATTGATTCCTAACGTCGTGAATAAAAAGTTCAATATTAGCTTAAAATGCCTGCGGTCAACCTTTAAAAGCCTTAAATGCAACTGGTTGCTCCTAAATCATTAAGAGATCATCGCCCCACTGACCCCCCCTTCATTCCTGACATTCCTCCATCTCTGGCATCTGATTGGTGAGCGATGAGCTCAGCCATACATCCCATACAGCGTGTCTCATACATCCCTGTTTGATGTGTAATGTCCATCTGACACCAGGCGGTCGCCACGCCGACTGCTGACATCCAAATGTGACGGACTCTGAGGAGATGTTTGGAAGTTTCTGCTATTTATTGCTCCGCCATCATGGACCTGTCTCCTCGCGGTGACATCACTGCATTTCCCTCTGCATACTGAGCATGGCAGAGATTAAACGAGGAGAGATGGATCCCTCTGTGTTTAACATTTGGTTCCAAACACGCTGCATGAACGGCTGCAGCTCATTTAAAAGGTGTTTACTTCCCGCTTTCTACCTGATAATTTTATAGAGTTAATTAAAAGCTTCTCTACAGGCCAATTTTTCCGGATTTAACAAATTAAACAACTTTGGGAACAAAAACATATTTTTATTCATGGCCTATATTTAGAGAAATCCTTTTTTTACATGGATACAACAACACTAAAAAGGATTTCTATTAATAGGGGCTCAGATCACAGGTGTTGGACAGAATTATACTGTATATACTGAGATAGATATTCGACGAGAGGGCCCACTCTGATTTAAATCCCCCACTTATTTAATTCCATAGAGCCTCACAGAAAAGAGACAATAACAATGACAAATATATATATATATATATATATATATATATATATATATATATATATATATATATATATATATATATATATATATATATATATATATATATATATATATATTCTTGTAAGAACCAAAATCAAAGGTAAAAAATAGCACAATAATAAATGAATATTTATCATAACTTTGCAAATAAGCTAAATTTGATTTAATTTATTGATTTAAAATTTGATTTTAAAATATTTAGGAGCCAAAGTTGATCCATTCACATTTTTTTTGTTCTAAATTCCTTTTCTAATTAAATATTATTGATCAGTAAATCACAAAAAATGGTTGTCTTTAGTTTTTTAACATTTAATATAATCTTAATGTATAGATTCAGATTTTGAAGATAATTTAAGATGCAGAAAAAAATACTCAATAAAAAAGCATAAAGTTGATTTAATTTAAATTTGAAGTTTTTGTGTGTTTTAAATGAGATTGATTGAAAGTCTCATATTAAACATGCTGAACCTGTAGGTTCTATGAGAAAAGTCTAGATTTATTTTCCCTTTAATCCACCAAACAAACATCTATCTGTCATTTTGTTCCATTTCCTTTTATTTTCAAATCAGTATTTCAGAATAAATATCAAATTATAAAGGAGTAGGCATGTGAAAACCAACACCCTCTGGACAGGGGCGGATTTAGGAAATGTGGGGCCCTAGGCAGAGACTGGCAGGGGCCCTCTGAATGGAGAAGACAACACATAGAACAGCCCCATTCTCCAGATGTAGAAATGTTAATAGAATAGACATCCATTATCTGTTCTAGGTTGTGTCCCTCTCTTCTTGTCCCTTTTCTTCTTGTTTTCCTCTCTATGTTTTGTACTCAGCTGACTTTTCATGCTGTCTCTAAAGGAATGAAAGATTTTTTCATTCAACAACTGCTTGTTTTTTAGTTTTGAAAAAAACAAACTACATACAAAACAAAAGCTGTTGTACTTGTAGCTCACATGTTTCTCTTTATGTGGCCATTTTTTGAATTTTAAAAATGACTCTCAATAACTAATTATTTTTATTTATCTGTAAAAGTACCAAAATACTGAAAATCTTTTCCAGCCAAACATTAAAACCTCTGATCTTTGACCCAGTTTTAACGTTTTGTCCAGAAAGTCTTTTACAGCTCAGATATGATGAAGGTGACTGAACTCCACTCCATCGGTAAATTGGCTAAAAGGCAAGGCAAGGCAAGGCAAATTTATTTGTATAGCACAATTCAGTACAAAGACAATGCAAAGTGCTTTACATGATTAAAATATAGGAAAATAAAACAGAATCAAAGCAAGTAGGAAAACAAATATATAAAATGAAATAAAAAATGCAGAAACAAAAAATAAAATAAAAAAAATTGGACTAAAGAAAATAAAAAAGTTGAACTAATGATGTTTCAGTTGAACTGTTTAACTAGAACAGTGGAAGGCAAGCCTAAACTAATGTGTTTTTAGTCTTGATTTAAAGGAACTCAGGCTTTCTGCACTTTTACAGTTTTCTGGAAGTTTGTTCCAGATAAGTGGAGCAGAGGAACTAAATGCTGCTTCTCCATGTTTAGCCTGAATCAAAGGTAAATTATTATATATATAAAATGCAATAGAGTTTAACATCCTGATATACTTTCTAAATAAATAAAAACACAATAAAACATGATAAGAAGACAGAATTAAGGTGTGAAGCTGATTCAAAGAACGGCTTTAGAGTTTCCATGACCTTATCAGCAGAGTGACGCCTCTTCCCCTCCTCTCTTTGCATGCAGACGCACTGATGCCCAAACTGGGCAGGAGGACAGGAGCTGAGAGGCTGCAGCGTGCATGAGGGCGGTAACACGACCCCAGCTGAGCGGCTCAGCCCATTCTTTATGTCTGCAGACGTTTGACAGCATATATAAGAGCCAGAGGCTGCAGAGAAGACAGACAGACAGACAGAGAGGGACGCTCGCCATCACTGCAGGACACCAGTGGACCTAAATCTGCCCCCAGGCTGCTCAGAACTTCTCACAACCAGAATGGGACTGCTGAGTGTGGAGGAGCTGGTAGGTTCTCCTAAGTTAATTGAGAATGAAGGTGTGCAGGATCAGAGACAGGCTTTCATTTGAAATTAAAAATCCTCCTTAGCTCAGACTTTACTGTGGATGCTGCAGCGTTTAAGTGCATATGTTGTGTTTTGATATTTCAGTCCCTAAATTAAAAATGTAAGTCTAAATAAGTGAACATCTCTTAAATTAAGTGCATTTCTCTTGAATCGAGCAGGCAAGTGAGACACTTTGGCAATAGAACAAGACGATTTACATTTAAAATAAGAAAAAAAAAGAACTGCAGTCTCTTATTTCAGGTGCATAACATCTGATTATCTTATTTTAAGGCTAAATACCATAATTCCATTGGCGAATCGTCCCGGTTACCCACTCAAATTAAAGATCAATACACTTATTTTAAGATTTTTTTAATGTATTTTGGGATCGTTTTTGCAGTGTGGATGTTGCAGCGTTTAAGGTCATGTTTTGTGTTTTGATATTTCAGTCTATAAGTTACACTGCAATCAGTGAGTTTATTCTTTAATTAAAAAGGTAAGTGAGACACTTTGGCAATAGAACAAGACGATTTACATTTAAAATAAGAAAACACAATTGCTTTGTCATATTTCATGTGAATTTTATCTAGTTATATTATTTTAAGAGTAAAATAGTCATTCCATTGGCAAATCATCTTATTTACCTACTCAAATTAAAGGTAAATATACTTAATTTAAGACATTTTTAACGTACTTCTAGATCATTTTACAGTGTAAATACTTCACTGGAAAAAATTCTAAATAAGTAATTTTTTTCTTGAATTGAGGATATAAGTGGGACACTTTCCTAATGCAAAAAGACGATTTACATTTAAAATAAGAAAAAATGATTGCATCGTCTTATTTCAAGCGCATATTGTCTTATTTTAAGAGTGATAAACCACGTCCACAGGCAAACTATCTCATTTACCTGCTCAAATTAAGGCTAATAAACTTAATTTAGGAAATTTTGAGTAATTTCTAGATCATTTTTGCATTGTTTAGCGTAAATTGATTAAAGATTCTACATTTTAAAATCCAAATTTGTTCAAATATTCCTTACATCTTGTAAAATCCATGAGGGCGGGGGTTTGTGTGTCTCACCCTTATGATTCCCTCCTCCAGGTGACTGGAAAGAGGTCAGAGGGCAGAGAGGCCAGCGACTTCCAGGGGGGCGCGTACGAGGCGGCCGTCAACCAGGAGAAGCAGGATGAGCGGGGGTCGCTGGCAGGAGGAGGTGGGCCGCAGGAGGAGCGGGAGGAGGTCAGCGTGGCGGCTCTGAATGTGAGTGAAGCAGCAGCTTCCTTCTCCTTCTTCACATCAGTCAGCAGCTGGTTGCTCGCTGCCTCTGACATCTAACTGGCTCTAAACAAAAAAAACATCTCAGTCATTTCTACAAGATTAGGAAACTAATCTAAAGGGAAAAAACCAGGAAACATTTTTACACCGTTTTACTTTTAACTTAAAATAACACATATCAGACCAATGTTTGCTGAAGACAATTATAAAACATTAAATCATTATCTAATGTTTATCTTAAAGTTTGCTTTCAGTTAGTTTAATAAGTTACCACATTCTAATTCACAGTCAAAACATTACACTGGAAAAAATAGAAATCTAGAGAAGTCATTTTTTCTTAAAATCAGTGCATTTGTTCTTGGATTGAGGAGATAAAAGAGACATTTTGCCAACGGAACAAGACAAATTACACTTAAAATAAGAAAACTTAATTGCATTGTCTTATTTCAAGTGCATTTTATCCAAGTATCTTATTTTAAGAGTAAAAATAATCATTCCATTGGCAAATTATCTTATTTACCTGCTCAAATTAAGGGTAAATACACTTAATTTAAGACATTTTTTCTTATTTCTAGATCGTTTTTCCAGTGTAAACCTTTAAACTCTTTTACACAAGGAAAAAAGGGATAAAAAGACAACTAAAATTATTTATCTTTAAGAACTACGCTGCAAAAACAATCAATAAATAAGTAAAAATGTCTTGAATTAAGTGTATTTAGCCTTAATTTGAGCAGCTAAATAATATTACTTGCCAATGGAATCTTTTATTTATTTTTACTGTATTATTGCATTTTTACTTGAAATAGGTCAATGCAACTGTTTTTTTCTTATTTTAAGGTTAATCTGTCTTGTTTCGTTGGCAAAGCGTCTCACTTTCCTCCTCAATAAGAAAATTGACTTACTTAGGTTTCTATTTTTGCAGTGTGCAGGAATCAAATTGTCCCAGTATGAGGTTGAATCTAAAACAATCTGAGAGCTTAATGTTTGGGTTTTTCATGTCTAAGGTGGGGAAACATATTTTTCTCAGAAGTTCAAATTGTACCTCGATATACGGAAAAGAATTAGGGCCACAATTTTTTTTTTTTAAAGTATTTCAGTGTAATATGAGGAAAAATTCAAAATTCTGACTTTTTTCTGATATTAAACTGAAATAATATTTAAAAAGAAGTTAATTTTTTTTCCAGTGGCCCTAATCCTCTTCCGAGATTCAGAACTTTAAAAGAACCACTATATTCTGTGGCATATTTTCTGGTGGGAAAAGCTCACCGAACCCTGGAAACGATTCTTTAAAAGCACTGGAGTGATTTAAATGGGAATCTGCTCAGATCTGTGCAGCAGCAGCCGTGTGGTTGGTTGGTCCATCAGAAGCTCTCCTCCAGTGATAAAACTTATTCAGATCCAGATAAGAACACCTTTTTCTTTTAATTTTAGCCTTTAAAGTGTCATTAGTTTTTTATTTACTAAACATTTTTATGATAGTTGTTATAAAAGATTATTTATTAGTGGAAAAACTTTGTTTCTGATCAAATCTGACGTTACATGTCAGTTTTATACAGCTTCTACTCATTTAGCTTTTATTAAATACAGATTGGATCATTATAATAAGCTACTGTTGAAATGGGACAAAGATTGCTTTGTTTTTAATAGTGTATCTAGCGCCCTCTAGAGGTATGCAAACGCATAACATTTTATTAATTAGTGACTAAAGTTGGTGATTTAATCCTTTGGCTTTTAAGACAATCATATTATTTCTAAACTGAATATCTGCAGCTAGATATAGATTTAAAACTAATTGTTTGTATAAAATATATATATATTTTTTTAGAATAAAGTGCAGCAATAAATATTACAGCCTCTAAAGGTCAAAGGCCACTTTAATGGGACTAACAGCAAGCTTTCAGGAACTCCAAAAAAAAGGGGTTGGGGCTGCGAAGATAGCTGGAAGAAATCAACTCTATCGCTGCATTCTAGGTTTTTGGTCCAGTCTTGGTCGTAGAGGTTGTGTTCTTTGTTAGTTCTTTCTTTTTGACTAACCGCGTACCATCACACTGGAAAAACCATCTAGAAATAAGTAAAATTAAAACTTAAGTGTATTTACCCTTAATTTGAGTCAGTAAATGAGATAGTTTGCCAATGGAATTAGTATTTTTACTCTTAAAATAATATAATTAGATAATATGCACTTGAAATAAGACAAAGCAATTGTGTTTTTTTAGTTTAAGTGTAAATTGTCTTGTTCTATTGGCAAAATATCTCCTTTACCTCCTCAATCAAAAAAAATCACTTATTTTAAGAAAAAATGACTTATTTCATTTTTTTTTCCAGTGCAGGAAACTTATCTTTGATTCTGTTAAACTTTTTCAAAGTTTACTCCATAGTTTGGGGTTGAAGCTGTTTTGCAAGTTAACTTGTAACCAGATGCATTTATTGGTTTATTCTGAGCATCTTCCCAGCATTACCAGTTTGCTGTGAGAAAGGAAACTTTTTTATGAATTACTTTCTAAAACTTGCATGTTTCCTGCCAGAACGAGCAGTTAAAGTTCTGTGTTGGATCGTCTGGAGTTGAAGAAACTTTCTGTTTTGTTTTTTTCTCTGACAGACGGATAGAAGCGGGAGGCTGAAGCTGGAGACGGTGGATGATCTGTTCAACATCCTGCAGCTGAGGAAGAGGAGGAAGGAGAGGAAGTCTTCTGTCTGCAAGAAAACTGAACCGGAACCAGAACCGGTGGTACGAGCGTTCTGCTCCCATTTCTACCGCTTCCATTGATGAAGCTGAAGATAATAAATGTGCTTTTAGTCGACTGAGATCTGGACTCATGTTAGATGGACTAACAACGGGTCATAGACCGGACCTGCACAGGCCAGCTGACAGGTTTTCCAGGGCCCCGGGACAACACAGTCATTTTGGGCCCCCCCCCCCCCATCTATTGAATTTAATGCACTTGTTAAACTTTTCTCCTCTTCATAGGAGAACAGCCAGCATAGCAGGGAAAACATTGTCTTTTTTGAGCTGCTGTATATCAGGCAGTTCCTAACTATTTCCCCTCCATTGTGGGAAGTAGAATAGATACCTAAAGATTTCAAGACAGGAATTTTTTTTTACTAGAAATTTTCTCAATTTTGGGACAATATGGTCTGATAAAGAGTAGAATTATATACATGTTTAAGCCAGAATGATTTGACATTTAAAAAGAGTTTCCTACGACTTTAAAGAAAACATATTTAAAATCTGCAGTGTGTTCCTTACAGCCAGAGACGGTGGACGAGCAGCTCTTTCTGACGGCAGTCATGGAGAACAAGCTTCCTGTGGTGGAGAAATACCTGAGCGACGGAGGAAACCCCAACGCAGCAGATCATGTGAGAGACAGACAGCAACATGGGACTCTACACTGGAAAAACCATCTAGAAATAAGTGAAAATGTCTCAAATTAAGTGTATTTACCTTTAATCTGAGCAGGTAAAGGAGAAAGTTTGCCAATGGAATGAGTATTTTTACTCTTAAAATAAGATAATTAGATAATATGCACTTAAAATAAGACAATACAATAGTGTTTTCTTATTTCAAGTGTAAATGGTCTTGTTTCACTGACAAAATGTCTCCTTTACCTCCTCAATCCAAGAACAAATGCACTTATTTTAAGAAATTTCTTTTTTTTTTTGCAGTGTAGAGGTTATTCAGGAAGGATGCAAGAACTTATTTTTATTTTAATTTTTTATGTCCAGTTTCAGAGAACGGCTCTGCATAAAGCTTCCTTCAAAGGACATGTGGAGGTGATGAGAAGACTTCTGGAGGCCGGAGCTGCCATCCAGCAGAAAGACAAGGTCCTACTCTCTGCACTGGAAAAAAAAATAAATCTAGACAAGTCCTTTTTTCTAAAAATGAGTGTGTTTTTTTTAATTGAGGAGATAAATGAGACACTTTTCCAATGGAACAAGATAGTTTATATTTAACATTAGAAAACACAATTGCATTGTCTTATTTCAAGTGCATATTATCTAATTATCTTATTTTAAGAGTAAAAATACTCATTCCATTGGCAAACTATCTCATTTACCTTCTCAGATTAAGGGTAAATACACTTATTTTAAGAAATGTTTCCTTATTTCAAGATAGTTTTTGCATTGTAGACTCGTTCTGACACCCAGGTGTGTCTGTGTTGCAGCTGGAGGCCACAGCTGTCCACTGGGCCTGCAGGGGAGGCAGCCTTCCAGCCCTGCAGCTCCTCCTGGACCAGGGAGCCAAGTTCTCCAGCAGAGACAAGGTCGGTGCTCCGCTGTTTCTGTCTGCACTGTAAAAAATATATTCTAAATAAGTATTTTTTTTTCTGAAAATAAGTGCATTTTGTCTTAAATTGAGGAGGTAAGTGAGATAGTTTGCCAATGGAACGAGACAATTTACATTTAAAATAAGAAAAAGCAACTGCATTATCTTATTTCAGGTGCATATTATCTAATTATCTTATTTTAAGAGTAAAAATACTCATTCCATTGGTAAATCGTCCAATTTACCTACCCAAATTAAGTTAAAATACACTTAATTTAAGATAGGCTATTTTTACTTATTTCTAGATCATTTTTGCAGTGTGTGCTTCAGTCCTGTATTGATAGACGGGTCTTTCTATGATCTGCTGATATTTGCTGTCATTACGCAGCTTCAGAGCACGCCTCTTCACGTCGCCGTGAGGACCGGACACTGCGAGTGCGCCGAGCATCTCATTCACTGTGGAGCAGACGTCAACGCCAGAGACAGGGTGAGCAACAGATCTGTTTTCGCCTTGAATGCTGCAGATCAGCTCTTATTGGCATCATCTGATTGTAGCTGTTCCTCTCTGACTGAAGGACGGAGACACGCCGATGCACGATGCTGTGAGGATCAACAGATTTAAGATGATCAAGCTGCTGATGATGTACGGGGCCAGCCTCGGCACGAAGAACAGCGTAGGTTCAGCATGCTTAGGAAACATCCTGCTGGTTATGACACATTATTCCACCTGAAAAACAGGCCAAGCTCCAACATCTAGAAACAAAGGTGTTGATGGCAGCAGCACAGCTGATATTTCTCTCCAGGATGGAGTCACAGCCAAACAGGAACAGACCAGATGAAGCTACTATGAGAAAAAGCAGAGAGAGCAGAACGTTAGAGATTGAACTAACAGATTCTGCAGAGTGGGAGAATAGAGATAGAATGAAGCAGAATGATGAAAAAGGGGTCCCTATGTCCTCCAGCAGTCTAAGCCTATAGCAGCAGAACTATAGAGATAGCTCAGGATAACCTGAGCCACTCTAACTAGAAGCTTTATCAGAAAGGAAAGTTTTAAGCCTAGCCTTAAAAGTAGACAGGGTGTCTGCCTCACGGACTAAAACTGGTAGTTGGTTCCACAGGGGAGGAGCCTGAGAACTAAAAGATCTGCCTCCCATTCTACTTTTAGAAATTCTAGGAACCACTAGTAAACCTGCAGATTGAGAGCGAAGTGCTCTGTTAGGAACATAAGGAACAATCAGATCTCTGATATCAGATGGAGCTTGGCCATTTAAGGCTTTATATGTGAGAAGGAGGATTTTAAATTCTATTCTGGATTTAACAGGAAGCCAATGAAGAGAAGCCAGGATAGGAGAGATATGATCTCTCTTTTTCATTTTCATTAGAACTCTGGCTGCAGCATTTTGGATCAGCTGAAGGCTTTTAACTACAGTTTGTGGACTTCCTGATAGTAAAGAATTACAATAATAGAAATAATACAATAATAGAAAAGGATTTAGTTTATTATTACTTGTGTCTTGGTTTGAAAGTATGAAAGAACAAAATCCTTGCATTCTTTGTGTCTTTAACTCTATCTGAACAGGAGCAAATGAATAATTTTAGTTAAATATCTGATCAACCCAAACAGAGTTGGGATTAAAACTGTTCCCAGCTGATGCTCCTGTCTACCTTTCCAGTAACCTTCACAGTCTTTGTTGCTTGTCGTTTGCAGGATGGAAAAACTCCCCTGGAGATGCTGTATTCCTGGCAGAACGGAGCCAAGAGCCTCTTGTGCAACTTCAACGAGGAGAAGCCCTGATCTCCTGGATGATCTGCATTTCAGCTCCTCTGCAGAGACCTGCCTCCATAGATCAGTAGCCAAAACCTATCCGGCCACTTTTTGAACTAAATTCTGCTTACTGAGTGATTTTGGGTCTGATCTCCATCAGGGATCTTTCAGCAACAATGTGACGTCCAATCAGGATGCATTTGTGGCGTCAGCTGGACGTTGCTGGTCGGCGCCTCAGCTGACAGTCTGGAAGGGATTTATTTAGTTTTTCTTTATTTTAATCTTAAGCTGAGTTGAATTCAGTGACGATGCACCTAAAAGGTGATTAATTTATTGATAGAGCCTTTATTTATTGTCGGATATGTTGTGTTTTATTTAATCTAACATAGAAGGGCTGCCTGTGTGTTGATCAGCATCTGAAGCTGATTTTCTGCTTTTGACGAGTTTATGAGAAGCAAGAGAGAAAAAAGTAGGTTTAATCTTCCGGTCAGACAGAATCTCTCCTGTTTCCTTTCTAGTTTTTTTTTATTAGAACATCTTGAACAATATGCAAAATTTAACAACAACATGCAGTTCAAGCCAAAGCAAAAACAAACAAAAAATGCCTCTCACTATCCTAGTTCTTATGCAACTGGTCACATTTCCACATATCCTCTTTAAGATTTAAGTTTAGCAGTATATGTCCTCAAAATAAAATTGTCTTAAGGAACTGTGATTAAATCTGATAGAACTCATACGACAGAAAAGACAATTAGAAGAAATTTATTGATACAACTAGTTGGTCTTTGGCGCTCAGACCTCGGCAGGAAACATAGTGCTTCATTTTGATAGATATGCATGAACAGGAGCAAAGAACAGGGCTGTTCCCCCCCCTGGTCTGAAACTGGTGGTGGAGTGGAGATAGATGGAGTTGGTCAGTCTGTAGCCTGCTGGTTGGAGTGGAGATAGATGGAGTTGGTCAGTCTGTAGACTGCTGGTTGGATTGGAGATAGATGGAGTTGGTCAGTCTGTAGACTGCTGGTTGGAGTGGAGATGGATGGAGTTGGTCAGTCTGTAGACTGCTGGTTGGAGTGGAGATAGATGGAGTTGGTCAGTCTGTAGACTGCTGGTTGGAGTGGAAATAGATGGAGTTGGTCAGTCTGTAGACTGCTGGTTGGAGTGGAGATAGATGGAGTTGGTCAGTCTGTAGACTGCTGGTTGGAGTGGAGATAGATGGAGTTGGTCAGTCTGTAGACTGCTGGTTGGAGTGGAGATAGATGGAGTTGGTCAGTCTGTAGACTGCTGGTTGGAGTGGAGATAGATGGAGTTGGTCAGTCTGTAGACAGCTGGTTGGAGTGGAGATAGATGGAGTTGGTCAGTCTGTAGACTGCTGGTTGGAGTGGAGATAGATGGAGTTGGTCAGTCTGTAGACTGCTGGTTGGAGTGGAGATAGGTGGAGTTGGTCAGTCTATAGACTGCTGGTTAGAGAGACGGTCTGCTGAGCTTTATGGGGAGATCCAGTGGACTGTGTGAGCTGATACTAGAGCTTCACTCAGGGACCTGGAAGATGGAAGTCCAGCTGGATAACACAGGTTGAGAGAACCTGTCCATGATGAGCAAGCATGAAGCGACAGTGGAGAGGAAAAACTCCCCTTTGGGAAGAAACCTCTGGCAGAACCAGGCTCAACATGGCGGTCTTCTGCCGGACCGGTTTAAATGAGACATGAAAGACTCGTCTTTCATGTGATTAAAGTTAGATCTAAAGCGCCTCCTATTCATTCTGACAGCAGCTGTCTGAACTGTGGTCTGATCCAAGATGGCCGCTCTCTAGGCATGTCTGCCAGCGTCCAATGAGGCGTCTAGGTAAATAATGTCTATGTACCTATCAACTCCTTAGTCGATAGACTTTATTTTTTTGTAAACTTGTTGTATCCCTTATGAAATCTTTAAAATAGGAGGATTATAAAAAAAAGCATTTTCTTTGCCAAACTCAGAGTTAATATTCTTATTTGATGATTACTTTTTTTGGAGTTATAACTTCACATTCTGAGCTTATGTTTGGTTCTTGAATGCAGCACAGTAACAGCGGTAGGTCATCTGAGACGTTCAAATTCTTGACATACCTAATGAAGGAATTCCAGATGAACTCAAGCTGATCCTGTTTAGCCTTTATATCCTTTTTTCCAAAGGAAGTGCAGATAACGTCTGCTGCAGCCCTCGGTTTATGGTCAGAACATTGATCTACACCTTTTCACATTAAGGAAAATTAAGTTTATAGATGTTTGTTCATTTGGATTATAATAATGTTTTCAGGGTACAGTCCAAACGCAAACAGCTTTGGCTCAAGAATTATTTCTTTGGACTTTGGACTTTACCTATTTCCAAAACAGTATAATTTTCCTGCAATCCCACATATAGTGAACCAGAGTTCCTCTGTGCATTTTGGACATACATCATGCATCCTATTAAGGTCCACTGGTGATATATAAACCTGCATTAACTATTTGAAATGAATCATTTTATGAGCTGTGTTTATAGACGCTTCTAGTTTTTATTCATATTGGTGATATTCTGATATGAACTCCTTTCTTAGCCTCCTGTTAAGGACAAGAGCGGCTTTATTTATCCAGAGTTTTTAAAAATGTCTCCCAGCAGGAGCCCCAATCTGCTAGGAGGACATTCAGGCTCCTGCTCTAACTGAATGAATATAAAGACCCTAAGAAGCAGAGAGTGACAGAGCTGGAATGTTGCTGATGGTTCAGAGGAAGTTTGATAAGAAGTTGTTTTAATATTTGTCTTTTTTTAAGATGTCTGTAAATGATGGTTTTTATTTATTGACCAAAATAAAAAATAAAATTGCATTTGATTTGAATTTTGTCTCTATCTGTTGTCTACATGTATGATGATATTTCTAACTTTGTAAAAATGTAAATATATATCTCACTTGATAATATTATATAAAGTAATAATATATATATCACCATTTATTTAATGGATAAAAGGAGCGTTAAAATCAAGATACGTGATGTTATTTTTGTACTGACTAAACATTTACACACGAGAGGTTTCTAGTTTCAAAGGTTGGCTGCTTAACGTAGAACATGGTGTGTATAATTGCATATTATCCGACTATACCTGGAAATATTATCCTCTCCTGTTTTTTTCTGCAGTTTCTGAGAAAATATGAAAGATAAATTCCTCAACCAAGAACTGCAGGACATGTTCAAAAAATAGTTTTTATTATAATTACCCATTGACATTATATATGTAGACGCCTCACTGGACGCTGTCGGCAGCGAGGCCGACACATCTAGAGGGCGGCCATCTTGGATCAGACCATAGTTCAGACAAAACAATTTTTAAAGTTACCTTTCAGTTAGAATACACATAATTATTCAAATAAAAACTATTTAAACTAAACTCAAACTGGATGACATATATACAAAATTATATTTTTTTAAATTTAATATTAATATAATAAATTTTTTATATTATTATATTATAGGATTATGTTTTACAAATATTCTATATTTATATAGTATATTATTGTTATTATTATTAATTTTTTAAGGATTGCGCTTTGATAATGAGTATTATGATGTATAGAGGAAATGTTTTTTCTGAGTTAGAAAAGAGAGTAAAGTTATTATTTAGTTTTTTTTAAATTAATTTTATGTTAATTTCTATTTATTTTTTTTGTCATTGTCAAGACTTTGCTGTAAAATCGTAGTGAATGGTAAATTTATGTTGTGTCTAATTAAAAACTTTCTGTTCTTATAGGTTTGTCTAAACGTCTTCCTAAACTCTTTTTTTGTTTTTTTGTTAATCATTATATATACATATATAAACATTTGTTCTTTAATCAGTGAATGAGTGTCATATATAATATATATATTTATATTTTAGAATTTGTTTTGGTCTTTTAAGGGGTCTTGCAAGAGATTATTGAAATATTATCTCAGACTCGTCTTTCTTGTGATTAAAGTTAGATCTAAAGCGCCTCCTATTCATTCTGACAGCAGCTGTCTGAACTGTGGTCTGTTCCAAGATGGCCGCTCTCTAGGCACGTCGGCCAGCGTACGTAATGTCAACTCCCTAGTCGATAGGCTTTATTTCTTTGTAAACTTTTTGTATCCCTTATGAAATCTTTAAAATATTAGGATTATTTACAAAAAAGAAAACCATTTTTTATTAACAAACTCAGAGTTACTGGTTTTATTTGACGATTACTTTTTAGAGTTATAAGTTCACATTCCGAGCTCACGTTTGGTTCCTGAATGCAACACAGTAACAGCGCATGCGCAGCGTTCTGGTTGGAAACGGCTTGAATCTTTCAAACGGTAGACCCGCGACTGTCGGTCGGTTGTCGTTTAAAGCTAAGTGATTAGCATGCCCTCTTAATATGGGAAAAACAAAAAAATAACTTTGTGTTGACTAGTTGTGTTTGCGAAGCTGCTCGGTAAGTGTTTGCTGAGTTCATGTCGCAGTGGTTTTTGTGAAAGCTGAGACTGTTCTCTAAATTCATCAAACTTTAGCTTAAGTTTTCTGTTAGCCTCGTTAGCCGTTGACAGGTGAACAAAGTGTTTATGTCCCAAACGTTTGCTGCTGTTTAACATTAAAACTGGAGCAGTTAATGTAACGCTTCAGAAGGAGAAAATTAATTCTGGTCAGTTTTATTTTATAAAACCTCATCATGGAGGGTGTGGACTTGATTTAAGCAGTTGAACACTTAACAGATATGAGTTTCAGCAGCTCTAGTCTTTTTCAATTCCATTTTAATTTGCATATTTTCTTCCTTCCTTCATGAATTTGCACGAATAATGTGTTTAAACAACACATGGGGTCAGTTTTTACCTGAGCTCTGTTGTTAGTTTGACTCAGTAATCCCAGACCCTCCCAGTCCAGAGCTGATGGATCCCAGTGGGTTTTGGTTTTTGTCCCAAAGACAGGAGATTCCTGACCGGAAGTAACTGGGGAAAAAAACACCCAGAGGGAGAAACCAGAAGCCTCCTGATTATTTTCTCAAGTTAAGCTGCATAGCAGCAAAAACACATCTAAGAAAGTGCAGATATTGTTTCTTTCAATCAGAGCTCAGCAGTAGAAAAAGTACAAATAGGAAAAATATTAGAGCCAGGCTAGAGATTTTCTTTCTTTTTTGAGAATAAAGTGGTGATATTATGAGATTAAAGTAATAAAATTATGAGAATAAAGTCACAACCATAATAGTCACAATTTCGGGAATTAACTCGTAATATGACAAGAACAAAGTCGTAACATTACGAGAATAAAGTATCAAAATTGTGAGAATAAAGTCATGACATTATGCGATAAAAGTCGTAATAGTACACGTATAAAGGTATATTTTATGACAACTCTTACAAGGAGCACTGTCTTTCCTAAAACGAGGAATGTTGAGAAGCATATAAGGAAATCCTTTAGCGTGCCAGCTTCTCATAATATTATATTATAATACTTTATTCTTGTAGTGCTGCAACTTTATTCTCGTAATGTTACGACTTTAGTCTTGTAATGTTACGAGTTTTTTCCCGAAATGTTACAACTTTATTCTCGTAATGCTACAACTTCATTCTCTTAATGCTGCGACTTTATTCTCGTAATGCTGCGACTTTATTCTCGTAATGCTGCGACTTTATTCTCGTAATGCTGCGACTATGCTTGTAATGCTGCGACTTCATTCTCTTAATGTTGCGGCTTCATTCTCGTAATGCTGCGACTTTATTCTCGTAATGCTGCAACTTTATTTTCGTAATGCTGCGACTTTATTCTCGTAATGCTGCGACTTTATTCTCGTAATGCTGCGACTTTATTCTCGTAATGCTGCGACTTTATTCTCGTAATGCTGCGACTCTATGCTTGTAATGCTGCGACTTTATTCTCGTAATGCTGCGACTTTATTCTCGTAATGCTGCGACTTTATTCTCGTAATGCTGCGACTATGCTTGTAATGCTGCGACTTCATTCTCTTAATGTTGCGGCTTTATTCTCGTAATGCTGCGACTATGCTTGTAATGCTGCGACTTCATTCTCTTAATGTTGCGGCTTTATTCTCGTAATGCTGCGACTATGCTTGTAATGCTGCGACTTCATTCTCTTAATGTTGCGGCTTCATTCTCGTAATGCTGCGACTTTATTCTCGTAATGCTGCAACTTTATTTTCGTAATGCTGCGACTTTATTCTCGTAATGCTGCGACTTTATTCTCGTATGGTTGCGACATCATTCTCGTAATGCTGCGACTTTATTCTTGTAATATTAGGAGTTTATTCCCGAAATAAAAAAAAAAAATCTCTAGCCTGGCCCTAATAAAAAAAGCTCAGCTCTGTGCTAACGGGACGGGATGACGCTGTGTTTTTAGTAATGTGATGAAAACCTTCATTAAATTGCTGACAGAAAGTCTCTTAAATTGATCATTTATTTGTGTTTTTAGATCCAAAAATGACTGACTGCTGCACAAGCAACAAACCGGACCAACAAGGTCCCTCTGAAGATGGGAACGATGACCTGTCCACAGAATTCAGCACTTTACCACAACTACAGGTCAGCCTTGGTGGTCGATTTAGGATTCATTTGCAAAATGTTGAATTATTCTCAAATTAGAGAAACGCTTGTTTAGAAGAAGGTGTTGGGTTATAATCCAAACTTGTGACCTCATCAATCAATGCCCCTCCATTGATTGCTGGTTCATCATCATCATCTTCACATGGTGCCAGACTTCTGGAAGAGTGTTTGTTAGCCTGATTCATGCTGTCAGCATGAAGGCATCTGTTAGAGGCAACAGCTTAAACTGAGTTTAATCATTTCAATTCTATTCAGTTTATTTCTATAGCTCCAATTCACATCATGTCATCTCAGGTCACTTTATAGATCCAGATCAACCAGAGCATCCAGTCAGATTGATTCAAAGTTTTCTATCTAAGGAAAACCAGCTGATTGCATCGACTCATTGACTCTTCAGCAATCCCTCACACTAAGCATGCTTGTAGCGACAGTGGAGAGGAAAAACTCCCTTTGAACAGGAAGAAACCTCCAGCAGAACCAGGCTCAGTGTGAGCGGCCATCTGCTGAGGCCCACTGGGGTTCAAGGAGACAGAAGCAGACATAGAAGCCTAGCCTTAAAATATGATCTTGTTTTGCAGAATTCTTGCATAGAAGATAAAGAAAATCTCCAGGTTTACCTCAGAATCAGACCCTTCACCTCCACAGAGAGCAGCGCTGGAGAGTCCCAGGTCCTTTTCTTAAATCTGTTTTACCAATAATAATCTGAAATCAAATGTTCAACATATTTTAAATCTTTTTTTCCTTCCCAGGACTGCGTTACCATTGAACCCCCAGATAGGGTTCTTCTGAAGCCTCCCAGTTCGTCCCTTTTGTCCAGACTCAGCGTGGATAAATCCTTTCCACAAACCGGGCAGCGCTTCCAGTTCTCCAAGGTGAGCGTTTGTCAGGCGGAGAAACAGGAAGTCCACCTGACTCTCATTGACGCTTCTGTCCTTTAAAGGTTTACGGTCCAGAAACGACTCAAAGTGAGCTGTTTGAAGGCACCGTCAGAGATCTGGTCAAAGATGTTCTGGAAGGAGGAAATTCTCTGGTGTTCACCTACGGAGTCACCAACTCTGGGAAGACGTTCACGTTTTTAGGTACGCCGCCGTCTGTCGGGATGAACGACCTGCTGAGGCCATTTCAGGGCTGACTCTGTCTCTCCTGCTGAAGGTCCAGACAGCGAAGCTGGGATCCTGCCGCGCTCCCTCCATGTGATCTTCAGCAGCATCCAGGAGCACGTCTTCCAGGAGCTGAGCGTCAAACCGCACCGCTGCAGGGAGTTCATGGCCCTGAGCTGGGAACGGCAGGCGGAAGAGGCGCTGTTCAAGAGAAACCTGCTGAAACAGTTCAGAGAGGTGAGCCGCCGCTGCTACAGGCGGAGCTCAGGGAGACGCCGCCCTCTGGCGCTCATTTTGTTCTGTCTGTTTTGTTTCAGAATGAGAAGCTCGGTAGCAGCCAGCTGAACATCACCAACCAGAGTCTGCTTGAAGGTCACTAGAAACACTTTCTGTTGTTTAAAGTCGTAGGGAAGCGGCTGTTCCAACCGTTGCGTTTCCGAATTCTCCCGAGTGGTGCCCGACTTTACAGGAGTGAATAAAGTGAATGTGATTGGTCGATTATCAAGGGGGCGGGATTGTTATGGCGGAAGGTTGGCACGTTTGGTTGTGGCCGGTTTGTGGGAAGCATCTTGCTAACCAGTTAGCAACTTAGTGCTAGCAGGTTCCCAATGGGAAATTCCATTGGGACCAAGTAGCAGTAAATTGATGACTTAGAAACGACGCTGTCAAGGAACGCTATGGACAGCGGAAACATGCAAGAGGAGGAGAGTTTAGGGTCGGAGGTCGTGGATGAGTCTCCTCCACCTCCTTTCCATGGAGCGCTAACAGAGAGTATAATTTTAAAAGTTCTCTTTCTGTTGTTCAATAAAAGTAGGTTTTAAGATCATTTGAGGAGAGAACATTATACTTTTAACTATAACTATATGGCCCATTTACCGATTTAATGCGTAAAAAAAAAAAAAAATTTCAGAAGTTGAGAGGACTGAGGTAACCAGCGGAGCTCCAAAGCTAACAGCAGGCAGGGCTAACGTTAGCCCGTCTGCAGCAGCCCTCTCTCTGCATAGCCATGTGTGAAGAACTGCTGTCTATGATGGCGATTTTTTTTTTTTCCTTTTTTTTTTTCTTTGGCAAAATGTTAATTTGCTTTGTGTTTATTGGACTGTGTTCATTATTATCCCCCCACTAAATGAAAAAAGTCAGAATCTATTATTATCTAGAGACTATTAATAACAGGAGGTGAAATGCAGCTCCAGATGAGCCCAGCGTGTGGTGATGTCATCAGTACGCTTCTGTTCCAATTCACCCGGATTTATTCTGTGTGTTCCCGTTCTCACCAAGTAAAGACTTTCCTGTGTTCTTCTCCAGAACATACATGGCGAGGACGCGAGTCTACTAGAAACGGTCAACGATGCGCTCTCTAGCTATATACCTGTAACGGTCGCCGCTACCCTGCGAAGATTCTTATTTCAACCGTTGCGTATATTAGCTGCGAGAAATGAATCAAGATGCTATGACCAAAAAAATGTGATTGACAGATGACCGTTGATATATGATTGGCCGAATGTAGGAGTTCAGGCCGACGTAGAACTAACTGGCGTGCAGAAGATAACGAGAAAAAAAAAAAATGATTTTAAGACGGGATTTTTTTTAAATAGAAATTTCCTAATTTTGGGGCAGTACGGTCTGATAAAGACTAAATGTATAAACACGTTTACCCCAGAATGATTCAGCATTTAGGTATGATTTCCCTACGACTTTAAAGCTGCTGGGTTCGGTTCCGGGCTCAGAGGGGCCCCGCGGCTGACTGTGCTCTCTGCAGGCTCCATGGCGACGGGGCCAAACGCAGCAGCTGAAGAGAAGATCAGCCTGAATGTGGACCCCAGCACCAAGTTCTCTGTCTGGGTCTCCTTCTGTGAAATCTACAATGAGAACATCCACGACCTGCTGGAGGTGGCCCCCAGCGGAGCGCCCAGAAGGCCCGCTCTGCGGCTGTCACAGGACGGGAAGGGCAACGCCTTCATCAGAGGTCCTCATCCTGCCGCGCCTCCAAGCTTTCAGCTCATGGAAACCCGAGGAGTAACGGTCGGTCTGGTCTGTGTTTAGATCTGCGCTGGGTCCAGGTGAGCAGCGCTGAGGAGGCGTACATGGTGGTCCAGCTGGGGAGGAGGAACCAGAGCTTCTCCTCCACTCGACTCAACCAGCTGTCCAGCAGGAGGTGAGGATCTCTGCAGGCTTCAGCCGCCCAGGTTCTGTTTTCTCCTAACGCTGGTTTCCTTGCAGTCACAGTATTTTCTCCATCCGGATTCTGGGCGTGGAAGACGCTGACCCTGCTAGAGTCCGCACCATCAGCGAGTGAGTTCAGTGGCGCCTGGTTAGCCGTTAGCCGCCCGCTCCTACTGTCTGAACGTGGCTCTGCTGTCCTGCAGGTTGTGTCTGTGCGACCTGGCTGGCTCTGAACGATGCGCAAAGACCCAGAATATAGGCGAGCGTCTGAAGGAAGCCGGAAACATCAACACCTCGCTGCTCATCTTAGGGAAATGTATCAAAGCTCTGCGGCACAACCAGCAGGCCAAGTGAGACGCTAACCTCATGTCTTCTTTCGTGGTTTCCCCTAAACGTTCCCACGCTTCCATCATTCTGTGACCTTTCCTGGTGAGTTTCTTCTCCTTCCTTCCTTCAGGCTCCTGCAGCACGTTCCCTTCAGGGAGAGCAAGCTGACCCACTACCTGCAGAGCTTCTTCTGCGGCCGAGGCAAAGCCTGCATGATCGTCAACATCAACCAGTGTGCCTCCATGTATGAGGAGACCCTCAACGTCCTCAAATTCTCCGCCGTGGCGCAGAAGGTTCCTGATCCTTCCGTCTCTCTTTCTTCATTGGCCGACAAACGCTGGGTGAAAATTCCAGATCCAGACGGATTCCAGGCTCCCTGTGTCCATTTTATAGGGATATTTAGTGTTCATATTTGAGCTGATGCTGGGGCGGAGCTAGATGGGGGGCCGGGGGGGGCCATAGCAACCCTTAGCCAATCATTGGCCACCCCTACCATTTTTTTTCCTCTAATACAGAAGGTGGCGGCAGTAATACTCTGAAGGTGAATTTTCAAACTTATTAAACATTAAATTTTTTCCTGTATTAACAACTGCTTGTGTCAGGTCTAAGGACCTGATACATACATACAGGGAAATAAAGAAGGCACAAAGACAATTAATTGAGTTTTACTCGCAAGGAGAGTAGGAAGAGACTGCGGAGTTTACAAATCTCCAACCCACTCTGCCGGTCTTCAGCTTTCTCCTCGCTATTTTTTAAAGTCAGAGGGGGGGTCCCTAGTTACACAAGCTGAGGTTGCGCTAAAGAATAAAATAAATTCGGTTGCACCGCCTTTACATTCAAGATATCTCAAATTGTTTTATGACTAGACGTTTTAGTGATTTAAGATATCGCTAATTACATTCTGACTAGTCAAAATTACGTCCGATTTACCATTTAACTTGTATAAAGACGTCAATTTAAGATATCTAGAATGAATTAGTGACTATCTACGATTAAATTACGACTAGTCATAAAGTAATTTCAAGATATCTCGATTTTAGTTTTGACTACTCATAATTCTAATTAAAGATATCTCAAATGCCACCATAATTCATGATATCTTAACCCTGTAATGCCAAATGTATCGTATTTGATACATACGGTTTCTGAAATGTTTTGCGTCTGACACCTTTTGCATAATTTAATGGTAAAAACTTTGCTCAAAATCCTATTGTACACAATCAGATATACCTGATAACAGCCAGTAGAAGACTACACAAAAAATAATCTTGACTTATCGCATAGTAATAAATGATTAATATCAAAAATGTATTTCTGTTTTTTCTTTTTACATGTTTTGTTAAAAGGGCAAATAAGGAATTCAAACAAAAAAAAAGTAATTTTCTGTTTTGTTTTATTCTTGGATCGGGCTTTAAAGGGTTAAATGTATTTTAGGATAGGAGATATGCAGGTTTGACTAGTGGAAACTCAATTATAGATATCTTAAAAGCAAATAATGACTAGACAAAACAAATTCAAAGATATCTTGAATTGTAATTTCGACTATTCGAAATTCCTTTTAAGATATCTCTAAATGAATTAAAGATATCTTAAATTATTCAGCTTTTCCATTAAAGATATCTTAAACTGACATTCTGACTAGTCAAAATGTGTCATGATCTTTTTAATGGGCTTCCAGGAGGATCATTCCTAAAAAATTCTCTACTGTCAGTTTAATCCAAAGGAGGAAAAGTTAAATCAGCGTGTGACGCTTTAAATGACAAATCCAGTGTCGTAATTTAAGATATCTTTAATTATTATTTTTTCTAATCAGAATGTAAATACAGATATCTTAAATTATCATTCCGGATAGTCAAAATGTATTTTAAGATATCTGGAACGTAATTATGGAAGGTCGGACGAAACCGAATTTATGTTAAAATGGCTTGCCATACGGAACTCAAACCTGAAAGAATTTTGTCCGCTATACCTTTTATTTACACACCATAGATGTTTAAATATATGCATCTATTTGTTAGCAAAGGCTGCAAGAAAGTATCGCTTGTCTTTATTTAGGAAATATGTTGTCCTGTTGGATCTATACTGGTCAATCTATACTGTTCCAACAGTATAGATTGACCCTGAGGTTCTGGTGCCTTTTGGCCACCCCTAATTTGTTATTGCCTTGCCCCCCCTGGTAGGATTTTCCAGCTACACCTCTGGTACCAGTACCTGGGTGTTGGCACTAAGTGGGACATTATCTGGCGCATGCCCTCTACGATCTCCAAGGGACTCAGAGCGGAGCGGACGGGAGCCACAGTGGAGGCTGCAGGCTTTGCTTTGAGCAGGCGGTCTGGAGCGCAGCGGGGCGGAGCGCTGATGGAGTATGAGGGATTTCGGGGTTAGCCTGACATGTTGGTCGTGTTGCTGTTAGCATAAACAAAACGTGTTGCACTTTTATCCCCAGCTTTCTTCCCGCCGTCATCGTAGGTCACTCTAAATGCAAAGTGGTCCCATACAGCAGACCTATAAAGTGCTGCTGGCGCGTCTTCCAACTCCTGTTCTTTCCCACTCGCCATACCCACACAATTCTCCACAACAACTGCTCTATTTCTGCTACACCCGGCTACGCTGCTTCGCTTCTTCTTCTTCTAGTTTACTACTGGTGGTTGGCTTTGGTCGCAGTACCGCCACCTTCTGCTCTGGAGTGTAAACGCTTCGTCTATGAGAAAAAGGAGCAGCGCATGAACCGAACGCAACACACGCGAACCGAACCGAGACAGTCGAACCGAACGGTTCGGACGGTTTTCAGAAACCGTTCCATCCCTACTAAGGGGTGCATGTTTTCTAAACAAAAACAAGTTTTTGGGAAACTACAGGGTTCCTGCAGGTCCTTAAAAAGTCTTAAAAGGCATTGAATTCTTCAAAATAAAACTAAGGCCTTAATTGGTATTAAAATGTCTTAAATCAGTCTTTCGTAGGTCTTATTTTAAAAAAAAATCATAAATAGGATTATTTTTATTACGATTTATTTTTGTAATCTGAATAAAACGTTAAATTTGACATTATTTTTTTTTTTTTAATAAAAAGAAAAATAACGTCTCGCCATTATTGGTTCTGTCTCGATAGTGGAACCAATAAAGCGTTGTTGCGGCCGGGACATTTGGGAGATGCACCATTAACTTTTGTCTAGAAAATCTGATCAAGTGTAAATGTAACCAAAATAGTCTCCAGCCAAGAGTTTTCTCCATGGCTAAAACCAGGGAACATACATGAGGCTCAGTGGATTTAGTGCAAGAAGTCATTCAAGCTCAGAACGATGGGATTCGTCCATGTGGCAGTTTGTTTTTCAGAATCGTTTCCTGGGTCTATGATGCCACATGTTGGATAAATGGTCACAGCTAGTCTATAATGGGATGTCTGTGGATAGAAAACGATCAGGAGACGCGGGTGTTAACGTTTAAATGGGTGACGTTCATTCTTCTCGTGTGATTTCAGGTTATAGTCCTGATCTCCAGGCCCCTCCCCATCCTTCCCCGCTCTTCCTCCATCCGAAGCACCGACAGGAGCCACCTGAGCAGCAGCAGCTCCTCCTCGCTGACCAGCTGGGAAACCAGCCTTCAGGAAGTTCAGGTTGGGTCGGCCGCTGCTGCAGACGTGCCAATCGTCCTTGTTTAGCCTGATGTCATGTTTCCTCTGGTGTCTGCTCAGGAGGATGAAGAGGAGGAGGAGGGCAGTCTCCTGGAGGAGCTCGTGGACGAGGAGAGCGAAGACGAAGATAAAATCCTCATCAGTAAAAGGCTGCATCAGGTCAGTGATTGATTATTTCTTTTTAACCAAATATCCAAACAGAATCCGCCGGATGTTTCTGATCCAACCAGACGGCCTGATGAAGCTCTTCCTCCTCTTCATCACAGCTAGTCAAACCCTGAAGGCAGATCCCTCTGCAGCTCAGCTACCAGACTAGCATTTAGCATCATATCTCATCTCCACTTTGTTTAATATAAATAAAAAATAAAATGTGGTTTAAAAACCTACTGGATGTTAGGTTTGCGGTAAAAATCCGCCCACCGTGGTCACGGCGCCACAAACAGACGTCCGGTGGAGATTAGCTGCAGAGCTTTGTGTTTATCTGCTCTGAAGCACACTGGAAGAAATACTTCCAGGTGCTTCATCCAAAAAGTCTCTGGCGACACCAAAAACAGGTTTCTGTTAAAAGTAACTTTTTAGTTACCGATGAGGCTGACATTTACAAAACAGTAAGAAATGACAGAAGAGGATTCGTGTTGCACTGATAATTGTACAAATGTGGATGCAGGAAAAAGCGTAAAACTATCTGCTTTCCATGAAAAGTCTATGCTGGACGGCGTCCAGAGGTCCTGCGGCGAGTCTGAGTATCAGGAGCGGCTTGTCCGAGCGCCGGGAGCATCCAGCGTTCGGCCTTGGAGTTCGGAAGTTTCAACTTTTACCGCTGGACACCGGAGCTGCGATTTTTTTTTTGGGGAGACAAACTCTACCTGCTGTCATTTAATCTCAGAATTTTGACTTTTTTCTCAGAATTCTGACAGCTAACAAACATGTTAGCATCGAGCCATAGCCATGTCTGTTTTAGAGACTAGCTCTCTTGTTTTAATGACCTTCTGCTCCTCCATTAATGAGGGGACCCCTCGGGCACGTAAAAAGTTGCCTAATTCTGTCATTTTCCACCTATGTGTCACTGGCCACCTCAAACAGCTCACATCTTTGTCAGTGAAGCTGAGCGCTCCACATCTCTTCCTTCATGGTGCCCATTTACATTAAGATCCACAATTCTGAGATTTTTTTTTTCCATGTTAAACTGAAATAAAATTTAAAAATCAGTTAACTTTTTTTTTTTCCAGTGGCCCTAATCCTCTTCCGTAAGATCTTGCAGTTTTTTACCACAAACCTTCAAAAACTCTTTCTATTCACTTCCAGCTGCTATGAACGGCCCCACAGGCCGAGAGCTTTCAGCGGGGATTTCCAGCGTCCGCTGGAGGCCTGACGCTCCGAAAAAGAACTGCATATTTTAATGGGATCATGAACTGACGGCACTGATCATCTTTGGCGGTGCATTCTGTCACTTAAAAACATGTTAAAACTATTTTTCCAACTCAAAGTAAATGGAGCCAAGCTGCTCTCTAGCTTGAAGCTACGGAACAGAGCAGATAAACAACCAGAGCCTGAAGCGTCAAAGCAGCTTCACCACAGTTTGGTTCAAATTTCGGCAGGCGGTTTCCATGGAGATGATAATGGTTGGATCATAATGAAGAACAGAACACATAGAATTCTTATTGATGAGCTTTTAATCATCAATGTTGTTTTTATAGTTATTTGATCCACAAACAGTTCTGTCGATCAGAGTTTTCAGCTCATTCTAACCTTGAATGATGCTGCAGGCGTTCCCAGAGTGATCAAACATGAGGGAAAAGCTCTGCAGTTATTCATCATTCCCCATCGTCTTCTCTTTGTTCCTTCAGAGGCAGGTGGCGCTGTTCAGACAGCTGCAGGTCCAGCTGAAGAAGGAGCGGGCAGAGAACCTGACCCTGGAGGCCCGGGTCAGAGAGGAGATCAGCAAAGAGTTCTCCCAGCTTTTCTCCAACATGCAGAATGACTACGAGTGAGTCGCTCCCCGTTCTCCTTTTCTCTGAAGTCTTTTAGAAGCCTGTGATCAGCCGGGCCTCTCAGAGGTTCTGTTTGTCCTGTGGGGAGGAGAGCTGAACCGTTGGTGTCTGTCCGCCTCAGTGAGCGCCTGAACAGAGAGAGGGAGATTCTGGAGGAGCGAGCCGAAAGGAGGCTGGAGATCTTCAGGAATCTGACGGAGAAGATGTCCTCGGCTGCATGCAGCTCAGATGGACACATGGTGAGGTCATCTGGGACCGTGGGAAACGGGGCTGGGCCATATGAAGAAAATCCAATATCACGAGGCCTATACTGCGATATACATCATGGTATTTTTAAATTACCTTCATAAACAATATAGTGCATTAAATTGCATCGATATTCAAACATTTGGTTTCAGCTTTAATCTAAGTTTAATTTAACCAGCTGAAAGCTCTTCTGCCACATCATGTCTCTGGTTGTCGGTATGAGACCTTTAACAGGATCCCTGCAAACAAACAGGAAACAAAGCAAAAACAAACAATACTGAATAAAATATAAAACTTATCAAGGGCTCTTTAGTGCAGAATAAAACAAAGTGGAATGAAAAAAGAAATTGACCTAAAATTGCAAGAAAGATTAGAGCATCATCAGAGCATCTATCAGCACTGATCTTTACCTGCTGGGGATTTTAAAGAAGCACAAAAAGTTATAAAATTGAGAACATTGCCAAGTTTAGAGCAAACTTCTGAACATCAGATCACAGCTATTAGAGAATCTAAACATTTAAATAACTTAATAAACGGCGCCTGTGACTTCCCTCCATCTCTTCCTCTCATATTAAATCGATTTTTCAAAGGACGAGGCCAACGCCATCGGCTTCACAGCTGATTTATTTAACGTTTTAATTGGTGTCCAGGGAGACGCTGACATGCAGAGTTTACAACATTCTTCATTTTGCAGCGGATTACTTTTTTTGAGCGTTTTCGTACTGCTGCCTTTTGCTGCAATGGTTTTTGAGGCACGTCTTACAAATTAGCCTCTTTTGTTTGACGTCCTCGAACTTATATCGCTCAGTTGGAACACCTGCTGTCGCCATATTTAGTTTGCAGGTTGCTGTAGTGTGCGAGAAAATAATCCAGTTTGGAGGAGGGGTTTATGATGCATTCAAAGTGTGTGGGGAAAAATAAAACTCTCAGTGAAATGGTTGCAGACGGCTTAATGTCTGTAGTGGGGAAAAAAGTATTCAACCATTCACCCCAGTTAAATAAATGGAGATGGATGGATTTCACTCAGTCAGCACTTTATTTTCATATCATTGCAAAGAGAGAACAGTTGATCATTCGGCCTTTATGGCACAGTAATCAGCCCTGTTCTGATCTAACCAGAGTTTGCCTCCCTTACTTATAATGAGGAAAAAGCTGTGAAGGTTGTGTCAGAGTCAAAATAAATTACACACACTTTGGTTAAACAATGACAGTCCTTGAGAGAGAATCTGGCTCGTTATGGAATAAGTATTCCTTGTATGCAAAACAATTCTCACTCAGACATTTTGTGGCCTTGCAGGTGAAACAAGAAAAATCTAAATCTTCTGACCACAAAGTCGTTATGCGAATTTGTACCAATAGAGTTATTTTAACTATGGTGCGTGGGAAAACTTGAGAAACATGGCGTATATCCAATATATCGCCCACCCCTAATGGGAAGGACTCCGATGGGGCCTGACTGTTTGTTTCTCCTCTTCCAGGACGGTTCTCTGATCTCTGAACCGACAGGGAAACAGGAAACCACGGAGGCTCCTTTCTGCTCGGGTTCAGGTGGAACTGATCACCTGGATGACAGAACCGGTGCTGAGGAGAGATTAGAGATGAAGCCTCCGGATCATCATCAGAACCATGAGACCAAAGGTAGAACCAAAGGAAGCTCTCTGAAAGCCTAGACTGGATCACTGCATGAAGCTGAAGAGGAGATCTGATGGAAAACAAAAAGGATCCATTCATGCTGCCATCTTCTTATCCTTTTGTTTTCAGGTGAAGCTTCAGAAACCGAGGAAGAAGAAAGGCAGCGGCTTCTTCTTGAGCTCCAGGCGAAGTCTCAGCGAGTGGCTCAGCTGGAGGAGCAGATGGAGGAGCAGCAGCTGGAGGAGCAGCTGGAGGAGCAGCTGGAGGAGCAGCAGAGGAACCCAGAGAAAGTCCCACAGGATGGAGATCAGCTCCAGGTTAGAAACCTCTGAGCTCCGGTTCCTTCAGATAGGTGGCCTCCAGCTCCTGATGAGGTTTAGACTGATGCTAATTATCCTGATCAGAACCGTTCATGTTAAAAGGTTCAGTCCAGAAATCTACAGTCATTGTAGCGTCTCCCCCAAACAACAGAGCCCAAAACAAAGTATTACTGTACTAGCCAATACTACGTAAAATTAGCACCTTATATGTAAGCTAAGGAGACTTAAGACATACAGAAAAAAGTTCTTCACACGCTGAAAATCATCTCAAAAACACATTAAACATAGTTTATTATATAGGAACTAACCTTGTGACTCTTTAAAGGGTGCAAGTCTCTAAAATACAGCTTAATATTTTAACTATCTTTCCTTCTTTTACTATGTTTCAGTCTCTTCTCTGTATTTTGCCGTAACTAAAACCTGGTCACGCAGTTTCAAAATAAAGTCCCTTAAAACGAGGTAAAACTGTAAAACATCATAAATTTACAAAAATAATGGAGGCAAAAATGATAGCTTAGAGAAATTTCACATTTGAATATTTCCTGTAGCAAAACTATAATTTGGGTCATTTACAGGGATCTCTAATTCATTGATCAGGATTTAAAGCTGAGCTAACAGGTTAGCGTGGTCGTCAGGGTTAATGGCTCCATAATGGGAGAGCAAACACCAGGAAACGTCTCAAAACTAAGAATCCTCCATTTCCCATGATTCATTGCCTGAGCTGCTATGGCAATGGTTCACGTCGGTGGCAACAATCCTGATTAAAAAATTGGATACAAAGTTTCCTATACAATAAAATAAACTTTGAAGATGTTTTTAGCTCCATCGATTCCTAAAATCTTCGTTTTTTTCCTCTCTAATAAAGACTCTAGGGCTCCGTAGGCCGTCTGCAGCCTGTAGTTGGTGCTCACAAAAGGTTAAATAAATCAATCCACTGGACTTCCAAGTTTGAAAATGTTTCGCTTCCATCCAGGAAGCTTTTTAAATTAAAAACTTCAGGAATGGCGTTGAGTTTGAGGCTTTATAGAGTGGACCAAAACAAAGCCTTGTTTACAGAAACACTGAATATTATCAGCGTTCTGATGGCGTTTTAGTAAAAGGATTTTTATCAAAAAGATAATAATGAGCACGACTGAGGAATAGTTGTTTTAACCATACATGGAAACAGAGTTTTATGGGACCCCAGGAACCTGGGGCCCTATAGAACTACTTAGTATTGCCTAATGGTAAATCCCCCCCCCTGATTCGGAGAAAACATCTGATATGATTCCTGTTTGTTTTTTTCATTCTAGTTCAGATCGATCCTGAGTTCCAGTGAGACGATAATTATAAGCATCCAAGTTCTAATTATATTAGATTAGATGAGCTTTATTGATCTCACAGCAGAGAAATGAACTGGTCACATATTGTCATTGTAATTAAAGAAGGTGCAAACGAGGAGGAAAAACGTGCATTAAGAATAAACAATATATATTTTCTGCTATTTTCTCTGATTCTTGTTGCAGGCAGCTTTAGCTGCTCTTAACAAGGAGAGGACCCAGAGAGAGGAGATGCTGGCTGCTCTGGAGTACCAGACTTTGGGAAAAGAGGAGGCCTTGGCCTGTTTACAGGAGGAGAGGAAAGCAAGAGAGGAGGCCGTCGTTGCTCTGGAGGAGCTGAGGAGGAAGAGAGACGAGCTGCTGGCGTCGCTTGAAGAGGAGCGACAAGAGAGAGAAAAGACCACAGCTGCTCTGGAAGCAGAGAGGAGAAACTTTAAGGAGGCCAGCAGGCCGGATCAGGACAACCAGCAGAAGATGCTGCAGCAGGAAGTCGACAAACGCCAGGATCAGACGGAGAGCCGCCTGAAAGCTGCTGCAGCAGAGCTGGAAGAAAAATCCAGTCAGATCCAGATCCTGACCCAAGAGGTTCAGAGACTGCAGGAGCTGCTGCAGACCTCAGCTGGTTCTGCTGAACTGAACCAGAACCAGCTGATGGAGGAAATCTCTGAGCTCAGGAAGAGTCTGGCTGAGGAGAAGAAGAAAAACGAGACGAAGCAGAAACTAATCCAGGAGCTGGAGGCGGCAGAATGCAGACAGCAGGACTCTGACCAGCAGAGGGAGCTGTTGGCCAACAAAATGAAGGAGACACAAGCTGCTTTGGAGCAGCAGGTCCAAGATCTCAGAGTCCAGCTGGACTCCCAGAGGGAAACCTCCCATCAGGAAGCAGATCAGCTGAGAGAGAAGATCCAGGAGCAGGAAGAGACGCTGAAGGAGCTCAGAGCTCAGCTGGAATCCCAACATCAGAGCAGCAAGCAGGAGGCGGAGCGGCTGAGAGCGGCGCTTCAGGAGCAGACGCAGGCCTCGGAGCAGCAGGTGCTGCAGCTCAACGAGAAGCTGCAGGAGCAGAAGGTCTCATTGGTGGAGGAGCTAGAGCAGAAACTGAGGGAAGAAACAGCTGCATCCATCGAAGGACAGGAGGAACTGAAGCAGAAGCTTAGAGAGGAGCAGGAAGCTGCTGAGAAACTCAGGAAGGACTTAAAAGAAGCTCAGCTCCACAGCGCCACCGTCTCATCCAGCGCTGGAGACCTCCACGGAGCAAACTCTGACCTCCAGAGGGAAATTACATCGCTGAAAGAAGAGCTGGTGGCAACCAGAGAGGAGTCCTCTGAGTGCAAGCAGATGATGAAGGAGAAGGACCAACAGATGCAGGAGAAACTGGCTCAGATGGAGAAAGCATCTGCTCAGAGGGAAGCAGAGCTCCAGGAGAAGCTGCAGGAAGCAGAGCAGCAGGTCAGCGCTCTGCAGAAGAGCCTGCAGGAAGCAAAGGAGCGGCGTGAAGAGGAGGAGTGTCAGGCTGTTCAGGAGGTCCGGAGAAAAGAGACGGAGAGGCGGCGTGAGCTGCTGGCTGTGGCTCATGAAGCCGTGGCTCAGAAGGACGCAGAGCTGGAGAAGAAGGCTGAGGAGCTCAGCAGGTAGAGTCAGGTTCCTCTTTCTGCAAACATACCTGGTCTTTAAAAAGTACGTCCAGTCACCTGGTTGTGTTCTCCTCCTAGACTAAAGGAGAACGCTCAGCAGGAAGCAGCGAAGGTGAAGAACCTCAGCCTGGAGCTTCAGAGGAAAGAAGACGAGCTCTCAGGGCAGCAGGAGAAGCTGGCCGACTACAAGAAGCAGATCCAACAGGTCCAGAAGGAGGTCGGTATTAATGCACCCGCTGCTCTACTCCATCCAGAGGGATTTTCAACCTGGAATATATCCCTAATCCCAACAACACCTGGAATGGGATTGGGTTATTATGGTTAACAGGATGAAACAATGCAGGGTTCTCAATGGAAGCCTGTGAGATCCCTAAAGGGATATATTCACATCCCGCCTCAGGCTGCAGCAAAAATAGACTACATTAAAAAATTATTGCATTTCCTTCAAAAGAAAACTAAAGGGCAAAGAAAGCTGGAGCATAACTGGCTGGAAGGGAGGAACTCAGACCAATTATCGCCCCCCTCCTGCAAAAAAAGGAAAGATTTTAGTTTATAAAGAACCCCTATTGGCCCACCATTACTATTGGAAGTTTAAGACATGCCTCCTTTACAGCAACCACTGCTCAGCCATAAATGATCAATATTTGAATCAACAACTTAAAGTGTGAGAGGGATGGTGTAGATCCAAGACTTGAAAAAGTAGCATATTTTTATTTCAATTCTATTCAGTTTATTTCTATAGTGCCAATTCACAACACACGTCATCTCAAGGCACTTTAATTGGATCAATTGGATCTAGAAGAGGATTGGCAGAGAAAAAAGGAACAAATAAACTTTTACTTTAAAAGTCAAGCTCATGGCAAACATATTTGGTTTATTATTACGTGTTTATTCAATTAAATTCTATTCAGTTTATTTCTATAGCTCCAATTCCCATCATGTCATCTCAGGTCACTTTCCAGTTCAACCAGATCATCCAGTCAGATTGATTCAAAGTTTTCTATCTAAGGAAAACCAGCTGATTGCATCGACTCATTGACTCTTCAGCAATCCCTCACACTAAGCATGCTTGTAGCGACAGTGGAGAGGAAAAACTCCCTTTGAACAGGAAGAAACCTCCAGCAGAACCAGGCTCAGTGTGAGTGGCCATCTGCTGAGGCCCACTGGGGTTCAAGGAGACAGAAGCAGACATAGAAAAAGAAGCATAGATAGAAAAAAGAGCTGTAAAAGGCGGCCCCGTCCAGGAAACACACAACCAGGCAGACGAGCTCCAAGAGCAGAACATTAGAGATTGAACTAACAGATTCTGCAGAGTGGGAGAATAGAGATAGAATGATGAAAAAGGGGTCCCTATGTCCTCCAGCAGTCTAAGCCTATAGCAGCAGAACTATAGAGATAGATCAGGATAACGTGAGCCACTCTATTTGAGTTTAATATTGTAAAAAAAGTGAAAAATATATTAAACTCAAATGAAATCAAATGTCAGGTAACTTTTAGAAAAAAAAAGTGAAAAAATGTTCCAGTGACCCTAATCTTCTTGTGCATCTTTGCAAAATCAATTGTTTGTGTATTTTGGCCATTTAAGCAGATTTTGGTGCACTTAGTCTACTTTTAACTAACAGTCAGAATAGATGTGGTTCTATTAGCTGAGATGCTAAATATTCTGCATTAAAGAGGTTATCAAAATGGGAATAATCCCTAATTAAAGTAAATGTTGTGGCCATAATTAATAAGTCGGTGTGGTTTCCATCAGTCTGGGTCTCTGATCCTGATGAACTGTTTTCCTTTCAGATCTCAGCCAGGAGAGAAGAGGAGAAAGCTCTCCAGCTGAAGCTGGCTGACGTGGAGAAGGCCAAGAAACAGCTTCAGTCGGACCTGAGCATCAGAGACAGAACCATCCAGCAGCTCCGAGGGGTACAACCGCTTTTGTTTCCATCAGAAGCAGGTTCTGCAGGCCTCACCTCCCCTAAAGGCGCCTCTGGTCTGTTTTCTCTACAGGAAAAACCCGACACTAAATCTGATCAGACGCTGCAGCTCTATAAGAAGGCCTGTGAAGGTGAGATGTCCCTCTGGTTCTGGTTCTCCTGCATGTTCTGGCCTAGTTTTCTGTCTGTTTTTCCATCTGGCTCTGGAGGTTTTTAGCCTTTGTTGATCCTAAATGTCACAACCCTTTAAACCCAGAGGGTCTCAGGGAAAAAAATCTGCCTGAAATTGTATATTTGAATTAAATCAAGTTCAGCTCCTAAACTCTAAATTGGAAATAATATTTTTTGTATTTGTCTGACAGAAATGGCAGTGAGGAATATTTTTCAGGTGGAAACTGTTTTAAATGTCACCATGTCTGATTTATAGGTGATTAAGCAAAGAAAAAAAAAGAAAAATATTTAGCCAAACACCATGAAACCCAATTTAAAAACTCTGGATGAACCCTCAGATTTTATAGATCCAGATTTTTACTATAACTCGAGCTAATTTGTACTGAATAGGTTGAATCTGTTTGTTCCAGAAAAGTGTTAGTGGGCAGTGCACTAGGAGGAAATATGCTTTAGGCAAAATCCCAAAGGTGCAAAAATGCATTTTTCCACTTTGCTCAGACAAATATGCTGATTTACATTATTGGCCTTTGCTCCTAAGATTTAGTCGTTGTTTCATTGAAATTTACCAATAATATCACCGAACTGGATAGAAATTAAGATTAAGAGAGAAAGCTTATGTAACACAGCTGATTACATTACCTGAAATGGTCGTACAATTACCTCTGGCCGCTCATTGGAAACGTCTGAGCCTGTAGTTTTCCAATGATGCCACCATTAGGTGGTGTGACAGCTGCCAGGGCCGACGTCGGCCCGTTTGCGGCGGCCATGGCCGACGTCGGCCCGTCTGCAGCGGCCCTCTCTCTGCATAGCCATGTGTGAAGGACCGCTGGCTCTGATCTGAGCTTTTATTTCTTTATTTGGTAAAGCGTTTATTTGATTTGTTTATCTGACTGTGTTCATCATTATTCCCCCACTAACTGACAGAAGTCACAATTTATTATCTAGAGACTATTAATAACAGGAGGTGAAATGCAGCTCCAGATGAGCCGAGCGTGTGGTGATGTCATCACTACGCTTCTGTTCCAGTTGACTCATATTTATGCTGCCGTTCTCCCAGAGTCCAGACTTTCCTGTGTTCTTCTCAAGAACACGAGTCTGTACTGGGAAACAGCCAGATACTCGTTTAGCTTAAAATGTATTTATTTTATTACGCTGACTATTTTATTTCTTGGTTTTATTTTTTATGAAAGCCTTTGTGGCTGTAGCGTGATGGAAGTCAATCAAATCCTGAAAACGAGGGGTGTTGGGTCCCTCCCTCACTGAAGTGTTTGTGGTTTGTTGATCCGTAGAGCTGGAAGCCAAGCAGAGAGTTATAGAGGACATGCGTCTGACTTTGACTGAGCAGGAGAAGACGGAGGAGCAGATGGAGGAGGTCCTCGAAGGGAAGATGGATCTCATCCAGGAGCTCTCTGCTGGTGAGACGCCGACATCTGATCCACCAAAGACACGGCGCTAAAAACTAGAAGGAAATAATCAGAGCTGCATGATTCTGATATTGATATAAACAATATAAAAGGCAGAAAATCCACAACAGAAACAAATGAAAACATTATTATACCAACTCCATGGAACTCCTCTGATAAAACATTAGATTTTCTGTTTAAACAGCTACAAGCTCAGCAGATGAAAAATTTAACCAGGAGATTCTCTCCCTCCTCGTGTTCCTCCGTTCATCACTTTTCCAGCCTTCCAGTGTCGTTCTCATCGCTTCTTCTTTTCCTGTGATTCACTTAAGATATGCTGAACGATGATGTTCACAAATCAATAAAATAAATCAGAAGAAACACCTAATAACTCGTAACTAGCTCTGAAAATACAGACCAAAGATCCTTTATTAATTTACACAAATCAAACTTTTAAACCTTAAAGTCGTAGGGAAGCGGCTGTTCCAACCGTTGCTTTTCCAGATTCTCCCAGTGGTGCCTGACTTTACACGAGTGAATAAAGTGAATGTGATTGGCCGTTTATCATGGGGGCGGGATTGTTGTAGTGGAAGGTTCGCAAGCTTGTTTGGTTGTGGCCGGTTTGTGGGAAGCATCTTGCTAACCAGTTAGCAACTTAGTGCTAGCAGGTTCCCAATGGGAAATTCCATTGGGACCAAGTAGCACTAAATTGGTGACTTAGAAACGACGCTGTCAAGGAACGCTATGGACAGCGGAAACATGCAAGAGGAGGAGAGTTTAGGGTCGGAGGTCGTGGATGAGTCTCCTCCGTCATCCATTTTTTATTTAGAGGAGGAAAGCGGGGACGAAGATGTTGTGGAAGAGGACGCCAGGGCGGCAGAAGCTTGGTTTGGTGTAGAAGGCTTCCAGCCGTACATGTTTGAGCCCTTGCCTCGCAACGCTGCCAGTTCTGTTAGCTCTACGCCTGCCGAAGACACAGACGTCCATCCCCGTGGACACTGGGACGCAACTCAATGGGAAAGGAAAGGATTCTGATTTCAACTGCTGCGTATATTAGCTGCGACACATGAATCACGATGCTATGACCGGAAACATTTGATTGACAGATGACCGCTGATATATGATTGGCCGAGTTTAGGTGTTCAGGCGGACGTAGAACTAACTGGCCTGCAGAAGATAACGGGGAAAGAAAGGATTTTAAGACAGGATTTTTTCTAACTTTTGGTACTCTTTATTGTCTGATAAAGACATGCGGCCTGGCAGGCTTAAACCTAATTGGACTATAATCAGTGAACAAACGCTGTGGTTAAAACAGAAAAGAAATGAAAAAACATTCAGTCTGGAGAAATTTAGAATAAAACCACTTAACAGTTGAAGGAAGCTGGTAAGGTTTCTCAGTCACCCAGGTCATGTATGGAAAAAGCTTCCTGGATGGGAAGCGAAACGTCTTCAAACATGGAAACAAAGTCCAGTGGATTGTTTTCGGTCTCCATTATTAGAGATCCTGACCAAGATGTGTTGTCGTGTTTCAGAGGTGGAGAAACTGAAGGGGAAGTTGCTGCAGCAGAACCATGAAACTCCTCTTCATGGAACCGACGGGCCATCAGAGGACCTCAGATTAGCTAAAGATGAAGCTTCACAAGCTCAGGAGAGCTTAAAGGTGGGTCAAAGCATCTAATAGTAAAGAAGACAGACGGACAAGACAACAGGTGGACATACGTCTTGTTTTCCTGCAGGCCTTCATGGAGAAACAGCAGGCCGAACGCAAGAAGTGGCAGGAAGAGAAACTGTCTCTGATTGGTCAGGCCAAGGAGGCAGAAGACAAAAGGAATCAGGAAATGAGGAAGTTTGCAGAAGACAGGGAGCGTTGCTGTCGCCAGCAGAACCTCTTAGTAAGAGCAGGATGATCTAAGATCAGAGCTGCACTCTGAAGACCAGGAATGACTTCTTCTGCTTCCTCAGGAGTCCAAGCTGGTGGAGAAGGAGAAGGCCATGGAGAGCTGGAGGAAGGACAGGGACGCTCTGGTTGCAGCTTTGGAGGTGCAGCTGCAGAAGCTGCTGTCCAGCCAAGCAGAGAAAGATCAGCTCATTAAGGAGCTGCAGAAGCAGAGCTCAAAGCAGCCAGCAGAGGTTAGTGTGGCGCCACAGTTTCTGTTCTCAATGTCCCTGTTCTGACTTAGCAGAGAACAGCTGATGATGTTCAGAGTTTGGTGACAGTAGGAATTATCTTAGAATCACACTCATTGTTCTTTTCTGATCAGGTCCAGTCCTCCATGGCAGTCAGCGCTGCTATCAACCATTTTTAGGCTACGTTTAAACTTTAGGCGCTTAACGCTCAATTCTGATTTTTTTTCTTTGTGAAAACCGACTCTTTTGCGTTGCCGTTCACATTTCCAATTAAATGCGACTTGTATGTGATCTCCTGTGTGAACCGCATTCATACTACCGTATTTTCACGACCATAAGGCGCACCGTACTAAAAGGCGCAGTCTCAGTTATGTGTCCCATTTCTGTATTTAACACACACATAAGGCGCACCGGACTATAGGGCGCGTTTTTTATATACAGGTACATGTCCTCTACTACCTTTAAATACCTCTACTGCGTATTTAAAAATACAGCGGGGGCAAAACTGAGTATGACTGCTTTATTCATGTATTTATTAAAAAGTATTAATCAAACCTGGCAGCTGGCCGTGAGACAGACACATTGCAGATTACACAGCGCTGTGATCACTCCTAAATTAACTTAAAATCCTGAAACCTGCCGACGGAATATGTTCGCTTTTATTACCGGTATCCTGGTGCCTGCAGTTTAAATTATTTAGATGAAAAACACCTGCCATCCACCGCGTGAACCCGGAGGCTGCCCAGCCTAGAGGCTGCTGATGAAGGGATTTCTGCTGTCGGTGCACCGCTGGTATGTGGGGGTCTGAGCGCCTCCGACAGAAATAGATAATCTGGATGAACTGACTGCAATTATGAAGTTTTCAGGTGGACTTTCTCACTTAAAAACATATTAAAACTACTTTATTCCCACTGATCACAGCAAATATAGCTGCAAGATTTAGATAATTTAGATGAAAAAACACCTGCCAGCCGCCGCGGTGAAGAGGAGGAGACCCGCCCAGAGGCTGCTGTTGAATTAAGTTTTCAGGTAGAAAAATAGAGCGGGAGCAAAACTGAGTATGATTGTGCTTTATTCATGTATTTATTACAAAGTATTAATCAAACCCATCAAAGTCATCATCCTCTGTTTCTGAATTAAACAGCTGCGCTAAATCAGACATGCCAATTTCCCCTTCTTCGCTGTCAGAGTCACTTTCCGTGCAGCGCAGCTCCTCAGAAATAATGCCGGCTTTTGCAAAAGCTTGAACAACAGAGCCAGCAGACACGTTAGTCCAAGCATCTACAATCCATCCGCTAACGGTGGCGTAACTCGCCCGGCGCTGCCTTCCACTTATCCTGAAACTGTGGTCTCCGTCGGTCATCCATCGCTCCCACGCCCCTCGCAGCCTTACTTTGAACAGCCGCTTCACACCGATGTCGAGCGGTGGAAGTTCCTTTGTCAGACCGCCCGGGATAACGGCGAGCACAGCATCCATTTGATTCACCTTTTTTTTCACATCGGCTGTGAGATGGGCACGCAGCGATGGTGATGCGTGGAAAAAAGCACCTGGTCTCCTCACATACACCTCCCTCAGCCACGCTTTCATCATCTTCTCATCCATCCAGCCTTTTTCATTTAATATCATATGTCATCAGAGCGCTGTCTGTCTCGCTGTCAGCTCCCAGATCAGCTTCTCTGATTGGCTGATGCGGCGCGTCCAGCAGCAAAACTTCCATTTTTCCATCTCGAGCAGCAGCAGCGCGTTGGCAGATGCTTAAACGCTCCTGCTGATCAAAACGTGCTGCGGGACCTTTTGCTGCGCCTATACGCGCGTCAACCATTGACTTTGCATGTAAACTCGCTGCTTCTGCTGCACCTGCTGGGTCCGGTTCACACCGATGTCGAGCGGTTGAACAGCGAGCACAGCGTTAATTTGTTTCACCATGTTTTTCACATCAGCTGTGAGATGGGCACGCATGGAGTTACATATTAACAGCGATGGTGAGGGGTGGAAAAAGACCAACTGGTCTCCTTACATTCAGCCACTCTTTCATCATCTCCTCAATGAGGTGTTCTCAAAAGTCGCAGTTACAACACACATAGGGCGCACCGCACCATAGGGCGCACCGCACATTTTGAGGGAAAAAAAAGACGTTTAAGTGCGCCTTATAGTTGTGAAAATACGGTATATAGCTATAGAGATAGCTCAGGATAACCTGAGCCACTCTAACTAGAAGCTTTATCAAAAAGGAAAGTTTTAAGCCTAGCCTTAAAAGTAGACAGGGTGTCTGCCTCACGGACTAAAACTGGTAGTTGGTTCCACAGGAGAGGAGCCTGAGAACTAAAAGATCTGCCTCCCATTCTACTGTTACTGAACTCTAAGAACCACCACTATACCAGCGATTTGCAGCAAAGGACCTTCTTAGGAATAAAGAAAACAACCAGAGTTCTGATATATGTGGGAGTTTGACAATTTAGGGCTTTATAAATGATGAGCCAGGGATTGGAAGTCTGTCAGATGAAGGCTGTAAATGTATAGATTAGTGCTACTGTGTAATATTTTACTTATTTTATAAGGTCAGTACATCTCTGCAGTACAAGCGCAATAATCCAAGTCCACTACTGTGTGGTCTTCCCTTAGCTCTATACTGTGCAGATATGTTTATATCTAAGGGAAACATATTCTAGGACATCACAACATTTTCTTTTTGTTTTTTTGTTGCTTTTTTGGTAATTTTTTCACTCTTTTAATATTGTCTGTTGTATTTTTTTTTAATCTTTAATGGCTTCTTGCTTTAACTCTTTGTACTCTATATAAGTTACTGGAACCAGAATTTCGCCTAAGGAATAATCCCAAGGGAGAAATAAAGCTGAGTCTAAGTTCGAGGCTGGTGTTTCTTTAACATTTTAGGAAAGTATATTTCTATATTTGCATCTATGCTAAAGAGTTTCCATCCTAACAGGGTGAGAGGAAGCCCAGGATTTGGGAACAGCTCCATCATGTTTGCCTGAGGTGTTTCCTGATGCCCGGAGAGTTTAGCGCATCTCATGTGTTTCTATGAACTGTGTGTCGCAGGTTAATGACGGCGGGAACTCTCCCCGAGTGGCAGAGCTGCAGGCAGCTCTAAAGGAGAAGGAGGCAGAGATCCTGCTGCTGAAGGAAACGCTGCAGGCCTCAGTAAGGAAGCAGGAAAACACACCTATGTGGGTCAGAACAATAATTTTCGTCACTGGTGAAGATTCTCAGTCATTTAGGTCATAATGATTCCTTCCCGCTATCATCGCAACCCCTTTACAGGGGAACAGAAGACCCCCCCAATTCAGCCAGGCCAATAATTCCCTTTAACGGCCCCCCTTTCAGAGGCATAGACAGTAGGGGTGGAATGGTTCACAAAATCCACGGTTTCGTGGTCACGGTTTTCGGTTTGGTTCGGTTTATGTTGATTGATAGCCTGACATGTTGGTCATGTTGCTGTTAGCATAAACAAAACGTGTTGCACAATGCTTGCACACAGTTTTTATCCCCAGCTTTCTTCCCGCCGTCATCGTAGGTCACTCTAAATGCAAAGTGGTCCCATACAGCAGACCTATAAAGTGCTGCTGGCGCGTCTTCCAACTCCTGTTCTTTCCCACTCGCCATACCCACACAATTCTCCACAACAACTGATTTTATTCTGCTACACCCGGCTACGCTGCTTTGCTTCTTCTTCTTCCTGTTTACTACTGGTGGTTGGCTTTGGTCGCAGTACCGCCACCTTCTGCTCTGGAGTGTAAACGCTTCGCCTATGAGAAAAAGGAGCAGCGCATGAACCGAACAAAACACACGCGAACCGAACCGAGACAGTCGAACCGAATGGTTCGGACGGTTTTCATAAACGGTTCCATCCCTAATAGACAGGTGTGGGGCATTGCAGGCTAGCAAAAGAAGCCAAACAACCAAACAGAAGTGAAAGGTCTTCAAACTTGGACACAAAATCCAGTGGATTATTGTTTTTATTTATTTATTTATTTATTTTTTTTTAGTTTTACTTTTTTGGAATAATTTTTGTCACCATCACATCTTCCAGCAGTGACGTCACGGTGCGGTAAGCCTAGCGCCTTTCTCCCCGCTTTCCAAGCTAAATCAATGGGAACTACTAGACACATCTGCAATCAACAACAATTATTGAAGATTTCCAGAGGACTTCACCATTGAAATTCACCAGAGCTATAGTGAAACTGACAATGCCCATGTGCATGGCAGCTGGATGCTGGAATACATCGGGGAAAAGTGAAAAAAAGAGTTATTCCACCTTTCTGATTCCTGATCCTCCACGGACGGGTTGGTCGTTGGATCGCCAACTTGAAGAGGGAGGATTTGCCATCGAACTTCCGGCCAGAGAAAAAACCCGTAATATGTAGCCAACATTTGGAAGAAGAATGTTTTCAAGATGACTTGGATAATAGCGCGTTGTGACAAACACCAGATACAGCACTGGGACTTGATCAACAGCCGATACCGCACCGTCACTAACCAGTAGGTGGCAGTAGTGTTCTTTGACAAACATGGATGCCTCCAGTAAAGCACATTCACATGAAAATTACTCTGAATTAAAAACACTGATCATTTATTGAACAGGATGGAATCATTTCAGATTTAAAGAACTTTCAGAAGTTTGAACTCTGAATATGAGCGACTTTTCTTTAATGATCAGTGAAACAATGACTGAATATATTGTTTCATAATATTAGGAAATTACGCCTTTTTTGTTCCTCATCTGTGATTCCAGCAGCTTCTCCTCCTGCAGGAAGCCTCCATCCAGCAGGATTGCATTAGAACATTCATCAAACTCTAAGCAGCAACTTATGACTCTTAAGTCAATCATCCAACAATTAGTGCTTTTTAAATGTTACTCCATTACTTTTGCACGGTGGTGATGGAGATATATTGTGCAGGCGTCTGTTTTACCCACGGCGTTGATGCAGATCTGAAGAGGATCAGATACACGTCTGAGACCAAGTCCTGACTACGATATTAGAAAGGCCAAACCGGAGGCAGTAAGACATCTTTAATTTGTTGCTTAGGTTTAGATGTCAGTTTGTCTATAGCATTATCATGCTAAGTTAAACCAGCTAAATACAGACAGGAGGCACCTGATCTGCTGGAGTCACTGGATCAGTAATAAGGCTCTGACAGTGAGATTTTATAAAAGCAATAACTGAGTGCTGCAGGCTGCCACCAACCTCAGCATACAGTAATTTGACAGGTGACTGGATGGAAGAATTTACATAACTATTAGTTTTCAGAGGAGCTTTGAAACGCAGACCAAGGGGCATGAGGGAGAGTTTCCCTTCTAATGAGCGATTCAGTCGGTTTTTACTTCCTTTCTCTGTTCTCCCCTAGAGAACTCAGGACCTCATGTTGGTCCCCAATAAACTCATCAGTACCATCATGAAGGATTTGTCTTAGCAAGCTTTTGAACCAACATGGGAAAGAGAATATTTCATTATTAGTGGGACGTCTGGAGAGCTTTTTCTTTTCTGATACAACGCTGTCACTGCAGCTTACTGACCCAAACAAATAATGAGCCTAAAGGGCAGATTAGACCTCTGCAACCGCACACAGCAAATGTCACTTGGGTCTGGGAGTGAACCAGTTTCACCAGTTGAACCAGTATGCTTCTGCACCGTCAGTCTGGAATTTCTAGTGACGCACAGCAGTTTCAAAAGCGCATGATGGAGCCCATTCGAAAACTCAGAACTTCGGCAGCGCCGGCAGGAGTGTTTATCTTCCAAAACAGCAATGATGTAACGGTCATGGATGTAGAGTTGCTAGACATCGAAGAGGAACAGGTTCTGTTAGTGGAGTTGGCGAAAAGATCAATTAACCTTTCGTCATAGTTGTTCCTCAGGCTTTTAAAAATGGCGCACCCCGGCACCAAATCGAGAAGGACGACCACACAGACGGCCGAAAGGTCAAAGGTATACCAAGGACCAATCACAGCTGCTTTTTGTCTGCACAGTTCCGCTTGAGGTATGCGCAGGTTTGCGTCCGTCCAATGCGTAGTCAGGATTTTTTTGAGGGGCGCAACGACGGTTGCAGAACCTCTGACGGTTGCAGATGCTATGCGTCAGAAGCATAAACTGGCCTTAATGCTACGTTCAGACCACAAGCAGCAGAAGCAGCTGGTTTACAAGCAAAGTCGATGGTTGAGGCGCATCAAGGCTCAGCAAAAGGTCCTGCAGCGCATTTTGAACAGCTGAAGCAGCACCTCATGAGCTTCTGAGCATCTGACGCGCTGTGAAAGCAGTAGCAGCAGCTAGAGTCGGAAACATTAAACTTTAGCTGCTCGACGCGCCACATCAGAGAAGCTGATCTGGGAGCTGGCAGGGAGTCAGACACAGCACTGCTGATGCAGAGCGCTATGATCACTCCACTGAAACATTTTATTAATGCGGAAATTAACTTGAAATGTCGCAACCCACCGGCAAAATATGTTCGATTTCATTACTTTGGTGCCTTCTGTTTGGAATACAAATGGGGGTGTGAATAATAATGGTTTTGTATCGATGCATCGATCCAACAGCCGACGATTCGATGCATCGATACGTCCGCAAGAGAATCGATTCATGTTTTTATTTTCCTCCAGTCTATTTTTATCCATTTGCTCCTGGACGTAATTCTCCTCCCGTGCTGCGGTGGCGCTAAACCTATTTTGCCCTCCTACCGCGTAAGTTAGTTACCTCCGACACTAAACTTTCCTCCTCTTGCATGTTTCCGCTGTCCATAGTGTTCCTTGACAGCGTCGTTTCTAAGTCACCAATTTAGTGCTACTTGGTCCCAATGGAATTTCCCATTGGGAACCTGCCCTAAACCCATTGGGAAGGTTCTCTAACCTCTCAACTTTAGGATGTCCAACATGGCTGCCATTCTAGCTAATAACTTAAGAATAAAACTGAACTTATAATCTCCCTTTATCTTTTCCCCTACAGGATAAACAGAGTGGGAATTCTACTGTTCTGGCTGAGAAACCAAAGGCTGAAACCAGCATCACTAAGCCAGAGAGGATGGAGACCAGAGCCTCAGGCAGCAGCCGGGTACACTCTGATTTTTAACTCGCTATCGGTGCAACGCAGGCATCCCCAAAGTCGGTCCTCCAGGGCTGCTGTCCTGCAGGTTTTAGATGTTTCCCTGCTCCAGCACAGCTGATTTAATTCTATTCAGTTCAGTTTATTTCTATATCTCCAATTCACATCATGTCATCTCAGGTCACTTTCCAGTTCACCAGATCATCCAGTCAAGAGGCGTTTCTCAATTCACGAGAACGCGAGTATGTACTCGCGTTCTCGTCAAGTCCGTTCTTGGCGAGAACGCAGGAAGATCGGACTTGGCGAGAACGCGAGCACGCGAGCACGTATGTGTATTGGAGCAGAAGCGTACTTGTGACGTCATCACAGGCAACGTTGTTTAGCATTTCTTTAACAGTCAAAACTATTTATTCCCTACACAAAACATGTTGAAAACAATATTTTTAATTTCTAAAGCTTAAAAAACATTAAAAAAAATTACCGAACCGCAAAAAAAACGCCATCAGAAGGAGCGGTAGTTCACACATAACTAGACCGAGAGAAGTGCACTACAGACGGGGTAACATTAGCCCTGGCTGCGGTTACCCTCGGAGGTCTGCTGGTCACTCTGGTCCGCTCAATGTCGGACTTTTTTTTTTAATTTCGCACTAACTCTGTAAACAGACCACACAGGGAGGCTTCAATGTATAATGTTATCGCCTCAAACGATTTCAAAACGTGCTTTTGAAGAACAACAGCAGCAGAAAAGGGAATGTTTAACTTAACACTGTGAGTGCTGTCTGGAATCAAGCTGCGGCCGCGGGGCATTCTGGGGAAGCGGTCAGTCTGAAGAACGCACAAGTCTGCTCTGATGCATGCTCGATAAAGAGGGCGGGGCGAGAACAACATCCGGAGATTTTATGCGTTCTCGATCTGGCGTTCTTGAGAATTGGAACGGTACTCGGGCTGAGGCTGATGACGTATCACGAGTAAACGAGAACGCGAGAACGCTCAAGAACGCATATTGAGAAACGCCCAAAGTTTTCTATCTAAGGAAAACCAGCTGATTGCATCGACTCATTGACTCTTCAGCAATCCCTCACACTAAGCATGCTTGTAGCGACAGTGGAGAGGAAAAACTCCCTTAGAACAGGAAGAAACCTCCAGCAGAACCAGGCTCAGTGTGAGCGGCCATCTGCTGAGGCCCACTGGGGTTCAAGGAGACAGAAGCAGACATAGAAAAAGAAGCATAGATACAAAAGGCAGCTGTCAACCAGCTCCACAGGCGGCCCCGTCCAGGAAACACACAGCCAGGCAGACGTACATTGCTAGTTGATTAACAGGCTGTTGCTGAACTACAATCATCAGAATCAGCTGTGCTAAAGCAGAAAAATCTCTAAAACCTGCAGGACAGCGGCCATTGAGGACCGACCTTGGGGAGGCCCGGTGTAACGGTTCCATTAACCATCCACCAGTCTCCTGTTTGTCCTCTCAGCTGTGGTACATACAGCTCGTAACAATGGCGACCATTTCCTGCCTGTCCCCTCAGGGCTCGTCTGGCTTCCCCTCCGTCCTTGAGTCGTCTGAGATTTCCACAGACAACGGCAGAACGAGCCGCTTCCCGCGCCCAGAGCTGGAGATCTCCTTCAGCCCCCTGCAGCCAAACCGGATGGCCCTGCGGCGGCAGGGGGAGGAGGGCGCCGTCACCGTTAAAATCACTCGCTCGGCACGCAAGAGGAAGAGCGGAGAGATGGAGAAGGTAGGAAGAGAACGCAATTCCACTTTATCGCCATGGCACATGTCACAAGTATAAGCAATGAAGCGCAGTCGGCTCCATTACGGACTTTAGCTTAAATGTATGCAGACTGATCTGGTTATAAACAGGATTTGGAGCAAGGGTTAGAAAGCAGCAGGTAAACAGCTGTAGTTAGGCTGTTAGCTCTTGTGTTACTGTACTTGTGCGTTCTCGTGAAATTTCATCAGCTGCAACACCAGCACTTCCAATTCACTAAAACGAGAACTGACAAATCCCTGTCTGTTGATCTCGCTAGAGACTGACACGGAGTGGATTTTCACTCCTGTCCCGTCCCACTCCCATAGAATAAAATCCTGTCCCGTCCCACTCCTGGTGAAATTACTCCCACTCCCATTCAGAATGACTCCCGCTCCTGCTCCCCTCGCATTCTGGTTGTCTTCAATAAGATTTCTGCTAATACATTGAATCTGAATTTCTATGAAGGGTCAGTTAACTTCCTGTTTCTAACTGTAGTAAAGGTCAGTTAAAGTAAAAGGAGTACCAATTATAAATACATAATAAAAGTAACAAACAAGGAAACAGACCATGCTGGTCTTAGGTGAATAAACAATCAAACTTTTCAAAGTCGAGTTCGCCGCTAACTGTTGGTCCCTCCATTGCTGTTTTTGAGTGAAAAACTCAGAGCGGAAGCACTGTTGGTTTTTGGGTTGTGTAGTTTTTTTGACTCGCATTATAGTGTAGGCTTCAGGCGGATCCAGACATTTGAATGGAGAAAGCTTCCTGGAGAGGTGGAGAAAAAACCAAGTCCAATGGATTTTCTTTGAACTTTTTACGGAAATACTAATGTAAGAGGGCAGTAATCCAAGAAGGGCCTTGGAAATCAGAGTGTAGCAATGACACTGCCTTCTGGTAGAGAGGGAAGGCCATCCCGCCTGAGAGGACAGGTACCAGTGATGTCATGGCTCTACAGTCTGTGATGAACCTTAATGAAGCATGGGAAACAGAGTCCAACATCTGAAGACATGAAGAAGAAACGTTCTTATAAAAAAGTTAGCCATAATTCAAGACCGATAAAAACGTGGCAGAGACAAGGTGCTTTTTCACTCCAAAAGAAAAGCATTTCTTATTAGGAAAGAAGAAGCCCAGTTTAACTTTTAATTTCTTAACAAGTTTATCAATAAGAGGTTTGAAGGTGAGGGAGTCATCGATTCCAATTCCAAGGTATTAATATTGATGTACGTCAATGACTTCCCCTCCAGAGTGGACACCACTGGAAGGGTTTAACTTTGTCATTGTTCAACTTATTGTACAAATATCAATCAAGTTTACCTTTAGCAGTAAGTTTAAGTTTCAAGTTTAAGTTCTGATTGTTTGAATGAACCTATGTAACATAATATTTTCCCTAAAAATTATCTTTGTCTTCCTTATGAGTTTTCCACCTCTAGTCAAGCACACATACTTCCCATAATCAGGGCAAACGTAGAGTTTGAACAAAGACGGAAAGTTGCTGCAGTCCACCTCAAAATGCAGGAAATGGCGCTTCAGAGTCTAAGTTTCAACCTTTTTCAGGGAAGGATACCCCGGATGCGGGAAGCCTTAGAGGGTGTACACCCCATGAAATATTCCTAGCTAAAAGCCTGACCCCAAAGATGAATCTTTGACTTGATTAGTCTGATTATAACGGAAGCTTTACTCTGACTTTAGGCCGAGTTATGGGATCAGCTTCTCTTTATACCTGGGTGTGTTGCTGGTGGCCTGCCTATGCAAGCTCTGCTTCAACCATGGGGGGAGTCTGACGTGGAGAAAGATGCTGAGGAGGAAATTCAGATTACCAAATGAGGAAGAAACTGTCAAACATAAATCTGTTTCCCCATATAGACGACAGAACAGCTTAATGTTTGATCCCCTGCTGAGGTGGAGGAAGCGTTGAGTTACAGCCCCTCTGCTGGGCTCACTGAGGGGGGCTTCCCTTCCCTGTAGAGAGAACCAGGAAGTCCATCCTTCCTCCTGACAACAGTCAGTCCTCTTAGCGCCGCAGGATGATGATCTTCCCTCTGAGGCACAGATGAGCTCCTTGAATGTTTAGTTGAAAGAAAAGCTTTGAAGGAAGCAGCTTCTGTATGAAAATCCAAGACGCATCAGCTTCCCTCTGTTAGCCGGATTAAAAGTTGGGCTTTACTCCGTGATGGACGAGCCTGCTGAGTTTTAGAACTACCTGAAAGTTAGAAAATGAGTCACTCATTGCTATGGAAGCCTGATCTGAGGAAAATAGAGACATTTAATGGAAAAGTCCAGTCAGTAAGGAATAATCAATGAATCATTATTTATGCCTAAAACTAATACACTTGGGTGATTCAATGAATTTAGCCTTAATTAGTAAAAAAAATAAAAACAATCATTTTCGTTGTGATCACAGAGTCTGGGAGCGGCCATTTTTGCCCAAATATAGTAGCCCCTCCCTCCTGCCATCTTCCAGCAGTGACGTCACGGTGTGGTAAGCCTAGCGCCATTCTCCCCGCTTTCCAAGCTAAATCAATGGGAACTACTAGACACATCTGCAATCAACAACAATTATTGAAGATTTCCAGAGGACTTCACCATTGAAATTCACCAGAGCTATAGTGAAACTGACAATGCCCACGTGCATGGCAGCTGGATGCTGGAATACATCGGGTAAAAGTGAAAAAAAGAGTTATTCCACCTTTCTGATTCCTGATCCTCCACGGACGGGTTGGTCGTTGGATCGCCAACTTGAAGAGGGAGGATTTGCCATCGAACTTCTGGCCAGAGAAAAAACCCGTAATATGTAGCCAACATTTGGAAGAAGAATGTTTTCAAGATGACTTGGATAATAGCGCGTTGTGACAAACACCAGATACAGCACTGGGACTTGATCAACAGCCGATACCGCACCGTGACAATGTCACTAACCAGTAGGTGGCAGTAGCAGGGTTCCTGCGGGTCCTTAAAAAGTCTTAAAAGGCATTGAATTCTTCAAAATAAAACTAAGGCCTTAATTGATATTATAATGTCTTAAATCAGTCTTTCGGAGGTCTTATTTTTTAAAACATCATAAATAGGATCATTTTTATTATGATTTATTTTTGTAATCTAAATAAAACATAAAAATTGAAAACTTTTTTCTTTTTTTTTTTTTATAATAACTGCTCGCCATTATTGGTTCCGTCCCGATAGCGGAACCAATAAAAGCGTTGTTGCAGCCGGGACATTTGGGAGATGCTCCATTAACTTTTTGTCTGGAAAATCTGAGCAAGTGTAAATGTAACCAAAATTGTCTCCAGCCAAGAGTTTCCTCCATGGCTAAAACCAGGGAACATACATGAGGCTCAGTGGATTTAGTGCAAGAAGCGATTCAAGCTCAGAACGATGGAATTAAGGCAGTGGAGTCGCACATGCGAAACACAAAGCGTCAAAATGGAGTTAGAGAGAAACAGCCGGTATTTCTCAGTTTAGTTCCACCCTTGTCTCTGCAACGCCTCCACTTATCACCAAATCAAACATAGAAAACGATAGAAAGAAAAATAGCTGCTAAAAAGACTTAGCACTGGTTATGTTGGGGCTTTAAAACTGATTTGTTTTGTTCCCTGCTAAAACAAAGTTTGTGAATTCAGTTAAATAATTGTTCAAATATATCTGTCATTTGTGTGTTTTTAGCTTTCTTCCTGTATGGGAAGCTTTTCAACATTTGAAACATTAGTGCAGTGGTTTATGTTAGAATAAACCTTTGGGTTAAGTTGTTGCAAGCAGGTTTTTCTTGTGTTTCTTGTGAATTTGGTCTTAAATTTTTATTTCAAGTGGCATTAAGTCTTAAAAAGTCTTGAATTTAACTTGCCTTATGCTGTAGGAACCCTTCTTTGACAAACATAGATTTCACTGATCATTTATTGAACAGGATGGAATCATTTCAGATTTAAGTACTTTCAGAAGTTATATTCTGAATTTGAGCGAACTTTTCCTTTAAACCTCAGTCACTGTCATGGTGTCGCTGTAGGAGAACTGTAGCCATGTGTCCATTAGTGTTCCTGTAGGAGATCTGCTTTTACAGGCTGTTTGTTCTGGTGTGTCTCTTTGATGGAAGAGAAATCTATAAGTAAACTGATTTATCAAACTGGGCATAAAAAGAAGGTAAATTCAGAGCATTTTAGAATATCTCTCTAGGTCTGACGTCAACATTGCCACATTATCACCGACCAAGCTGAACAAAATCCCTTAAAGGGTCATTAAAAGATTTCTGGGCTTTAGAAAATGACCTTTAGCTCCCGTATTGAACAATAATAAAGATAATTCATCGTAAAAGTCCTTATTTTCTTGTTTCCTTTAACATTTAATGCTACTTCAGGTAAAGTAACTCAGAGTTGGATGTGTCGTAGCAGCAGTTTATTTCCATCAGCCTCACAATCTGAACCATCTCTAACTCCAACATGTGAACGTATTTTCAGCCAGAGCGCGTCCTAAGATGATCCCAATGTAAGCAGTTGGATGTCCAATCAGGGAAGGTGTCTGTAAAAACGGGGCTGAGGGGGAGGACCGACTACCTCAGAGGGAAAGGTTGTTTTCAGGTCACCGTCTCGCTGGATTTGATTCAATGCAACGGAGACAACGGCACTTATGTTAATCTGTTGGCCAGGAAAGAAGGTTAATGCCTCTGGTGCGTCTCCTTCCCAGAGGCATGTGACACACGCAGACCCAGCAGAACACGTGTGGCCAGCGCAGAAAATGTTTGAATTAAAAAATGGGTTTTATTTATTCAGAGGATTTATGCCTAAAATAAATCTCTCTCCTGAATGTAAAAATATAATGGCTCATAATTATGAAGGTATCTTTCTGACGTTATTGAACCTGATATGGAAATGATAAAACATGGCAGATCATTAGAGCCTTAAATGATGGTGACAGACGGCAGCTAATCAATCCAGATGAAATGATCCAACCATCCTCAGCCTGTTGGCAAACATTTAAAGCTTTGTGATTTAAACATTGCT